CCCATTTATTTACCCTAATGGCCCAAACGTTTTATAAATGGCCCATAACATTCCAGTGATAGGGGCCATAGGCTCATTTGCCTGTTAAACCTTCCTAATCCCTGGAGATTCCTCCAAAAAGGAATTACGTAAGATTGGAGTAAATTAGACATATTCTTCTCAAAGTTTCTAGGAGCTAAAGACGTGGAAGGCATCTTCATTGGGGCTGAAATCATCAGAATGGAAGCCATCTTGATTGGGGCTTTAAAGGAACTAGAGGTAATACACCCTTGACGTGTTGGATCCCAAAGCTGTAACAACACTTTAACATATTGTTATACAAGCTAAATTACTTAAAATGGTTTCATAATTGATTCTTTGATGGGTCAGTGTTTCAACACTTTTTTACTCCTAATCCCTGAAAAATGGAACATTGCTCATCAATTTTCTCTCAATAATTAATGATGATGTGACAGGAACAATACAGCTTGCAAGATACAGCCTAATTTCACATTTATGGGCCCGCAACTTTTAAGAAACAAATGGTAATGCCAATTTTTAATATTTAATTGCAATCAGCATATCAAGGTCCATCTTACTCAAAATTGCCTTTAACCCTTTAACTCCCATGAGTGACCATGAGAGAATTTCTCCCTACAATATCCATACAATTTCAAGCAGACAAGTGATGAGAATAAAGAGAAATATCAAATAGGGGATTATCAGTTGATCCAGTAACAAATTCTCAGAACTAAAATCATAAGAATTGTGCAGCAGTCAGTAAGGAGAATTACTAATAAGATCTTGGGAGTGAAAGGGTTAAACTCCCGTCACATGTTGCTGTTTTGTTAACATTCAACAATAATATATAATTATTATTCACAGAAGGTGAAGTGAGTATTGTTGTAGAATATTCACTGAGCATAAGGCAAATAATTGTTTTAGTATGGTTGCTTGTAGGTGCTTTTGAAATCTGTTGTAAATGTTTGTTTTGACATTGAACCCATTCTGTTTCAATTGTTTTGATTACTCATGTTAAGATAAAGAGCCAGTTTCCACTAGGATTTGATAAGTTTATTAAATTCAATCAGCAAAATCTTCATGCCTTTCTTTTGAAAAGTGTCACTCAAACCTTACTAGCATCTTTTGTGCTATTTGGAATTGAATTTGCTTTATCATGTTCATTACTTCTTCTGTAACACTGACTAAACCTGAGGCAGCCATTTTGAAATTTAGTGCTCCTGCCATAATCACCTCAAACAAGATATGATACAATCCTCTACCAATCAGAGGCTGTACATCTCAAAAATCACTGGAGCAATTATAGTAATATTAATTATGTTCAGTGTGTGTGAGGCAAAATCACTGAATTCAAAACTGCATTGTAACTGAAGTTTAAACAATCTGTGAAGTATGTTCAGAGCCACCTTAAATACATTACATTGTTGCAGAATTAAGGTGGCACTGACTCCACAACACCCCTATATTTTGAACTTTGTAAAAACAATCAAATTTGATATGTTAATGTAAACATTAGGAGCTCACACATACCTGGGTTTATGTACTTGTAACATTTATGTTTGGGAGCAGAACATGTGGTTCATTTATCACATGCATGAATATAAATTTGGGAAGGGCTGCAACTTTTCATGCATAAATCAATCTGATTGCTAAATGTTGCTGTAAATTGTAATTCGTCTTTGTAGGCACAAACAAGAGGCTTTTTGTCAGAATACATGGAGACACATTGTAAACTATATATTAATAAGACTGGAGATGTCTGGACTCAGCAAGAGGGACATCTTGTAAGAGAACAGAGTTTAGAATTTGTTTATCATAATATTGTATAAATTTTATCCAGAGAATTTAAACCAGTTCTCAAATCCAACCTCAATTTTTAAAGTCTATGTAACTTATCAGAATTTGTGCTGCAAATTTGCTTCTTTGAATTATCTCTCACAATGCTCAGAAGATCATAGTTAAGAAGACGTCTCTGAAAGAATCAAACATCTGGGAAATGAAAATTTTCAACCCCCCTTCAAATTTTGCATGCAGTTCAGCACTCAGGGGGGATGCACAAGAATGCCCTTTTTAAAGGTTGCAGCACTCTTGTTGCCATGGTAATAACTGCTGTTTGTTGAAGGCCGGGGGCCTCATTTTCATACAAAAACGTCTCCAAAAAAGAATGAAATGTTTAGTCTCTATCTCAAGCTAAATACAACATTACAAATTGGCACTTCCAGGGTTGTCAATAAGCGCCGGCGACCGGCGATATCGCCGGCTACTTGAACGTTTTCGCCGGCTGCAAATTGGTCGAGATAAGCGGGAAAAAAGCGGTCATTATCAAAACGCTTTTAAAAAAAATTAGAAACAAAAAACAAAAAGAAAATTGATTTGTTTCACTCATAATTTCAATGTATTTGCAATGCGCGATTTACAACAGAAGTTTTGGCTCGTTTAGTTTCGTGTGCTGCATGATTTGCGAGTGAACAGATCAGGTTTGTTTACTTTACATTGTCGCCTTTTGTTTTAAAATTTGCATATGTCTACGCTATCTATATGTACTTTGTCATTCTGGTATAAGTTAGCGGTGTCAATTTTCGATTGAACTTATCTGATTTTCTCAAATGTAAATTAAGTTTTGAAAGACGGCAATTGACCGTAATTACCCGTAAAGTTTTAATCTTCACTAGTTCAAGGTGATGTCCATTCATTTACAAAAAAAATTAACACAACGAAAAATATAAAAAATTGTCTGTCGACCCTAGTTAATTTGTTATAATCGATGACAGATTATAGGAAATCAGATTATTTGAAACATAAACGTTTATACTGAAACTAAAGGTTAATAAAAGTCAAAGCTACTTGAGAATAAATTAATAAAACAAATGAATAGTCATCAACAGTACTGTTCTTTTCAGGAAGTGAAGCTTGTTAGAATTTCTGTGAGGAAAGGCAATTTTTGGCAGTGTCAAAACGTCAAATTCATTTTGCTTCCGGGGGCTTAGCCCCTGGACCCCAACGGGGCTTTCCCCTGTACCCCCTGCTGGGGCCCGGCGGCCCCCAGACCCTCGCCTCTGTGGGGACCTTCGGCCCCCAGAGGCATTTACTTTCCTAATATCTCCGCCTACTTGAATTCTTATTGACAACCCTGCACTTCTACCATACATAGTGACATCATTCGTCTTCTCTTTGATTCATTCAATTTTCCCTGGGAGTGAATGCGAACACACCAATAGATTATTCATCTCGGTACAGTTTCAGTGATTTTTGTTGTAGGGTAAAACAGGGAAAACGTTTATCTGAATTTCTCCAAAAGTACACCAATTCTGGAACTGAAACTACCTACCTAGTTGGTTATAATATTCTTGCTTTTAATTATACAAAAATCTTTCCATAGGGGCAATTCGCGAACTAACTCAAATATCAGATATTAAAACAATTACCAATTTTGAGTTAGTTCGCGAATTGCCCCTATGGAAAGGAAAGGCCGGCCCGCAAATATTTGAAGGGGGGTTGAAAATGTTCATTTCCCAAGATGTTTGATTCTTACAGAGACTTGTTCTTAAGTTCTCTATAGAGGTGTCCTCTTGGACATCTTAGAAATCATTTTCTAGATGTGTTTGAAGTTTTTCTTTGGCTGTATTTTTGTAGTTTATAGAGCAAAGGAGTTTCGCCACGGAAATATCACTCATTATTCAAGATCCAGATGACAAAACAGTATTTGGCTATATGCACGGTCTACGTTCCTTCTTAGGACCCATATTTTGTGCTTTTAAGTCCGAAGAAGTAAGTGAAACCAAAGAGGCCTTGTGATAGTTTAGCTGAATTATAAGGAATTCATATTGCCTGTTTATTTATGGACGAGTTTAGACTGGGAATATTGTCTTCTTTAAAGAAAAACGATATGCAAGACCAGGCTTTGGAACTCATGGGGGTTCTTTCATCGGAACCAATAAAGATTGCTCAGTTATATAGGGCTAAGGTAGAAAGAGCTCAGGTTGTCAAAGCAAATGGATTTGCTCCAAGGATTGCAGAAGGGTAGCTTATATAGTCTTAGAATGGAGTCATGTTTGACAGACAACCACTTGGAAATAAGTTTGATTTGATCCCTTGGCGCGGTTCTGTCTTTACGGTAGCTAGTATCAATCTGTTTGGTACTCAGGTTGCGGTAAAATCAAAAATCTCTTTTTCACCGTAGTGGTGAAGGTTTTAAACTTTAAAAAAAAATGCTGTGAACCGACCAGAATACCTACAGACACTGTAATTTCAGAAGTATAAAGATAATTTTTGTGATGTCATTACATTTGAGCCCCAAAAAGTTATCTTCCTTTGCCAAAGTTCTACCGAAGGAAAGGTATTCCATGTGATATCCAAATCAGACAGATCTATTTCAGCAAACGCATAAACATTTGAGAATGAAAGGTTCGTACGTTCTTAGTTACACATTTCTCTTTGATGATTGAGGATGATTACAAGGGTAAACTAGTGCAAACGTATCGGCCATTTTTGAAAATGACGTTACTAGCCAATTTTTTTTGTGCAGTTTTACCCCTCGTCTCAGAGGTAAATTTTTTTTCTTCAGACAAACACCTTTCATTTATAATACAGATTACAGCTTCAAGACTCGCAAGTGTATGTCTTGATGAGTTGCGAGCTTTTGATATATTGCATAACGTTTTTGCTCTTCAGGCCGAGGTTATCGTTAAAACCTTGAGGGAATATACAGGACTTACGAATAATATCATGGGAGAGGTGGCCGGACCATTAGATGGTATGTACTCGGACCTGCACCACTTTCGGATCAGTTCTCCTTTAGCCGTTTAGGAAGTTAAAATGTATGACTAAAACATACAAATACAGAAGCAAAACCGGGAAAGCCAAAAAAGCTATTCCATAAGACTTCCAAATTTTCATGTTTTTTTTTAAATTCAAAACATTATATATATTCGGGTCCCGATCTTGATTCATGATCCCATTAATTTTCTTAATTTGGATCTTTGCACCTTTTACAAGGATATAGAGACCTCTTTCAGAATTTGACAGATCTCCTGGTACAACCGCAAGAGAAAGAAAGGAAAGAGGCCAACCTCTCAATGGTAAAAGAGAACAGAAGTAGACGAACTTCCAGATCCATGCGAGCTTCACGTCAAACGAGAGAGCAAGAGCTAGATAACTGGTGGGAAAAAATGGACGAGGTGACACAGCAATTTCCAAACTTCCAAAACCAGTTGCAGCGAAAAGATAGTAAGGGCTCAATATTGGAGAGAAAGCTTCAGCAGTTACAGAATGAAGTTTCTATCTTACGGAGACAGTAAGTGGAACAATGTCAAGAAGTAGATGAGGTGCGTCGTCAAAAAGCAAGTGTTGAAACACAACTAAGGCAAATGGAACAACAACAGCTCCGGGAAAGAGACCAAGTTGAAGCCCAAAACCAGCGATTGAGAGAGATGGAACGACAACTGGCGCAAAGAGGGGAGAGTTCCTTTGATTGGATTATCAGCCGTAATGAAGTTCAAGTGACTAATAAGCGCCTTGGGTCTGGAGGTTGGGGAACGGTTTATGAGGGCAGATACTGTGGTTGTGATGTTGCCGTGAAACAAATCCACGAAGACTTTGCATCAGCTCATAGACTTAAAATGTTTCAGCGTGAAATTGACATGGCTTCAAAATGCCGTCATCCATGTTTGCTACAATTTATTGGAGCAACTATTGACGAGGGATTTCCTCTCCTGGTGACAGAGCTAATGGAAACAAGTCTACGGCGACTTTTGGGGGAAAGACCTCTTTCCACTGGAGAAGTCTCCATAATTTCGCTGGATGTGGCTCGGGCACTGAATTATCTTCACCAAAAACGACCTGTACCGATGATTCATCGCGACATCAGCAGTGCTAATGTGTTGTTGTGGCGAAAGGCCGGACGAGAGACAGGCATTCACGAGGCGCAATGGAGAGGAAAGGTTTCCGATTATGGCACTGCCAAATTTGTAGAACAAGTCATGACTCAAATTCCAGGATGTTTGGCGTACAGTGCACCTGAGGCACGTACAACGACCCAAACAGCGAAGGTATCATTACTAGTGGTTTGTGGGCAATGTACACTATATTTTGGCCAGAAAAGCAGAATGAGTTAAACGATCCATTTAATTAATAAGCACCCGCTATTTTTTGTCAGCAGTGACCAAATTATAGTGAACAGTATGAGAGCATGGATAATATAAAAGCAGGGTTTTCTTAGGTATACAAAAGAACGAGGGTTGATCCAGTAGTTTATGATAACTGCATTTTATTTTTTGAATTGTGTACTTTAAGCATATCCTGTTTTTTTTGTAGCAAGTCTATCTGTTCAAAAGGAGAGAGAACACATGTGGATGAAACAGTGTTTTTCTGTTCTGCTTATAGTCAATGGTTCTAGAAAATTATCTTATATTAGGTAGCTCGCTATACTCGACTTGAAGTGACTTTAATCTTTACCTAGTCATGTTGTTGAATAATTTCTAGATTGATGTCTACAGCTTTGGTATTCTACTGTGTGAAATGTGCATTCGAGAAGATCCAGAACCTGACAGGCGTGATGAGCAAGTCGACAAGATGTCAAACCAAGCGCTGCAAGAGTTCGTGCGCCAGTGTTTGCAAACGAACCCAGATGATAGACCAGATATGACAGAAATCATTCACAAACTTGAGCAGTTCCAGTGAGTGCTTAAGGAGTCTTGTCATATTGTTAAAGAGGGAATGTAAGTTTTAACACCAAAAATTTTCTCAAACAGCTAGCACAATCACACACGTTTCAGTACGTTTCTATGTCAGGGAGAGAAATTGGAATCAGTCAATCAAACATATCATTCTCTTCCTGGCGCGTGATACGTTTATATGATTTTGTTTCCTTTTTTTTGTTTTCTTATGTTTTTGGTGTTTTTCCTCAAGTTACAATACTTATACAATACTTATGGCACTCAATTTCCTAACGGAATCGAGTCTATATGTGGTTTATTTACGGTTCACGGAAAAAAAAAACGCGGGCCCCTTGATTAGACGTATCGTTTTCTGCACTCGTGAAATATGCTAAGTGCACCATTTGATTGTCTTTTGGCGGAACTGCTTGTTTAAAAAAAACCCAAGTTTCGCACCTTTTCAAATGGTAGATGTCAGTTTTTATGTTATCACTAGGCTTTCCCTTCAGTCCTAATTATAACTTTCCGATATATATTTGTCTAAGTCTTTTTTTCTCTCAATCTGTGTGTTATGTGCATTCATTATTTGCCTTGGTATCAAAGGCGTAATCCCAAAGTCGAACGGGTAAATTAGTGCTGATAATGCACTAGAATCATTATGACACTTAAATAAACGTCCATTTACTCCGTAGGCTGTGACGTTTCATCCAGAATTGTCTCCAAGCAAGGCCTGAGACGAGATCAAGTATAGAAGAGATCATTTTCCAATGAGAACAACTATAGTAAGATTGTAGATTTAAGCTTTGTTAGCGTAAGGTAAATATAGTTTCTCGGTAATATTCTAGCATTCTTTACCAAAAATTGTAGATAACGTGGAAACTCATCTTAAAATTCACGGTCATAACTCTACATAATATTATAGCACAGGTAATAAAAAACATAATGAGATCAACGAGAAATTGTAGCGAGTTGAAACTTCAATTTTTGATTGGCTATTGTCAAGTGTTCCAAGTGGTATTGATGACAATATAATTTCCTCAGTGAGGGGGATTTATGATGAGTAAGCGACAGTCTTCTGTCATTACCTTTTCGCTTGCTGGATAAGCTCCATCTGCTTAAAAGTACTCAACCTTGGGCCTCTCTGCAGATATAATGCTCCCACCTGATTGAGTGTCCATTTTAAGTCTTTCTGTGAGAACCTAAGGCGCCCTCGCTCAGAAAGTTGTTGCAGATACCTTTAAAATTACAAAAAAATTAATGCTCATAAAACGCCCACGGTCCGGAACCCGCCTAGAATTTTCCTAGAAAGATATTCCACGGAAAATTGCATGCTACCTTTAAATTAAGGCAGTTTTTCTGTGCATCACGACAACAGCAACACTTAGTTTAGGGGCCTGGTTACATGGTGCGACCTGGCTCGGTTTTGCTGAGATCTCGTCACTTTAACATAACAATAATTAACTTCGTGATTACATGACAACCGAGGCAGCCCGGTTAGCGAAAGTGCCGAGATCTCGGCAAAAACCGAGCCATCCCGTTTAGGGTGTCCAATTTTCGTAAGTTACTTAGAAGTAACGACCATACATTCTGCTTGATGTGGGCATTTAAAATAAATGCAGTATTTTCGTCGTTTTTAAGTGGATTCTACTGATAAATGGTGCCGAGCCATAGCGTTTGAAAAAAGTCCAGGGGTCATTTATATTTTCACCTTATGCTGTAATTTTGTAACGTAAATTTTTCTGAAAAGCATCGCGAGTTATTCCCTTTTAAATATCAAAACCTCAGGTTTCAGTGATATAAAGTTGTGTGTAATAAAATGCAAAGTTTTTGCACGAGCAAAAAGGCTCAAAGTTTACATTAAAATTGTATCACTTAGCACTCACTTTGAAGCCGTTAAATCACAAATTCCTTAGCTATTAGTAGCTCTACTCAATAAGAAATCGGTCTAGGCTTAAAAGCCCTTCTGAGACAAACAACCTTTTTAGATGACTGCCTTATTAGAGAGAAGTCAAGCCTATAAAAAGACGAGGTAACACAAAAGCAAGAGCCAAAGGCGTATATGTGACAGAAGTTATAGTCCAGGAAATGGATAATAAAAATTTTTTTCTTAAAAGGTCAACAGGGTATAGTAATTGTTTTCCTCCTCCATGCGTTTCATGACAATTGTTCACTGTAGTTGTATTTACCTATAGACAGACGGCTATTTCCGGCCTTGCTAGCGCCATCTGCCACCTTCATACAGGAGATATTTTGCTCGCTCGCGCGCGATTGTTCTAAACGCAGCACGTGACCTAATAGCCCCCAGCTAAAAGTGGGTGATATCCGAGAACATCACCTCAGCGATATTCCCTAATTTTTAAACCTTGCGTCCAATACAATAAGTCTTCGTTTGAAATTTAATTCAAGATGAGAGAGGGTTTTGTGGCTGTTACATGAAAAGGAAAATCTTTTTCGGTTCTTCAAGTCGTACCAGAGAACACTCAAAAGAAAACATCCCACGCTGCATACAATAAGCTGTTCATAAACATGGATAATATACACAATAGCCTTTGTAGGGCGCGAAAATTTGTACGGACATTTACCCGTTTGCACTCGTTCCCGGTCGGTCGGGGGAGGGGGCAGATTTAGTTTCCCTCACGATATGAAAGGGATGTCCAATCGCATCTAAGTCAAGAGCGAGCATAAGCCCATCTTTGTTCCCTAAATCTGGCCATTTTTAGCCTCAAGTATCGACCGTGTCTCGGTGTATTGCTGGCATGGCTGGGAAAAATCATGGCTTGGTTGCGCTGTCGATAGGAAAAAATAAAAAACAAGAGGAATCTCTCCTTAAAAGCAATCCAGCAAATTAGATAATTGTTACGTTTTAGCGAGAAATGGGCGACCACGTTCTCTTTTTCGGGACTACATTTTGATGCCGTTGTTCGTTAAAAATATGCTTTCCATTTTGTATTTTTCATAATGGAAAGCTGGCCGTGTAAAGTATGCAGGATTTTGTTCGCTAAATTTTGTATTATTTAAGTCGTAACTACCAGCGTTTGCTGTAGGAGCCGTTAATTTGAAAAAATTAATTAAAGGAGATCAGCGAAATATTAACGATAACTATCGATAACTATCCCAAAGTAAGAGAGAGCCTTCTAATTTAAACAAGACTTCCAAACAGGAGCCTATTACCGAGAGAGGGTATTTTTTTAGGGCTACGTGTGTTCTGAAATGTCCCCCAGATTTATCAAAACCCTGTGTACCGAAGGGTTGGAATTTAGTTTTTAGAAAAAAAACGAGCACACTGTACATGAATGTCTGTAGAGCGCGTCATGTGTAGCAGAAACTTATGTGTAATAAATGCAATTTCTAGATAGTTATAGAGACTTTGGGATACCTCAAAATTCTAACGCAACGACATGTATGATTTACATGATTATTCAGTCACCAAGGAGCATCCCGAGTTTCACTCTAAAATGAATAGGTTTTCGAAGTGTGCTACCTTTCAAAGCAAGGTACCAGACAAATCCTAACATATAGATGGCATGGTTGTATATTGCCTCCAGAAGGAGGTGGGAGAATCATCGTAATTAGTGCAGTATTTTTCCGTTTAAAAAGATTTCATATGGATCAAATTAAGGTGTCATAGAATTGAATGAAAAATTGATAATTAACTTAACACGTTTTTGTGAAAAAAAATGTAGAGTGGTATTGCGCATTTAATAAAACAGTTAATAGCAGTTCCTCTAATTGTTGGAAATCAAGAGTGTTGTAATCACCACGCATAGCTGAAGAATCTACTTATTCTAGAAAACAAAGCTGGCTTTGACTGCTATGACAGAGAGTAGTACTTCGAATATAGAGGTCTCTGTGATGAGGAAAATCAACACTCGATCATACCATGGTACACTCGACCTCTTTTTCCGGAAATTCTTCCCAACCATGGAGTACCTGATGAAAAATTAAGCGACAAGCGATATTTCACCTGTGAACCAAACTCTAGAACAGTTTCCGTTGCACTGGATAGATTAAAGCCTTGGACAGATTCTGACATTAGAAACAGAAACAAAGACGTTCGCAGGCACTTCTTAAGAGTTCTGAAACAAAGCCAGCCCGCCGGAGAAGAGAAAGTGAACAAAATTCATAAGAAGTGGCACTGAGGTTTGCGCGATGGAGCAATCCTTGAGAAGAGACGTGACTGCAAGAGAAATACTTTACTTACTTTCTATTCAGCTGAGCAGTCGGCGGAAATAGGACTGGTAGAAAATCAGCCGAACACATCCATAAAAAGAAAAGAGAAAAAGAACCAAGAAAAGGAGCCTAAACAGAAGGAAGTACGGGAAGAAATGTTACGAACAGACTCGAGAGAAATGGAGCAAGGATAAGCAGTCAAACGGAAATAGAATCGACAGTAAGTGCGTTACTCCGACAGCTCGAGGAAAGGGACCGGCGAGTGACTACTCTTCACAAGCAACTGAGGGAGACGAATCAACACTGTTCAGAAAGAGAGGAACGATTAGAAACCTTACAAACAGACTTGAATAAGAGGTGAATCATAAGTTAAAAAAAAAAATTATGGAGAAGGAGGCAGGAGAAAATGAGTTGCATCAACAGCTCGAAGAAAGGGACCAGCAAATAGCAAACCTTTAGATACAACTGCGGAAGCTGGAGCGGCAGCTGGGAGAGAAAGACAATCGAGAAGAACTTTTACAAAGAGATCTGAAAGAGATGGAGCAACAGTTGCAAAACGAAATGACGCACAAGGAGTCGAAAGAAAGTTACCTGCATAAACAACTGCGAGAAAGAGTTCAGCAAATAGAGGACATTCAAGAAAAACTGCAGGAGATGGGACAACAGTTGCATTAAAAAAAGGAAAAAGAACGAGAGTAAATTTTCCAGATGCAGCTTAAAGAGATGGAACGACGACTGAAAGAGGAAGAAACTGCGTTTAAAATACGGCTCAAAGATAAAGACCAACAAATAGAGAACTTGTAGAAACAGTTGACAGAGAAAGAAGAACGAAAGCAAAGATGGAGAGAAAAAATAGAGGAAACTGAAACGAGAGAAGCATGATTTCGTGAACAGCTTATTGAAAGAACCCAGCAAGTATTAAACTTTCAAAGAAAGTTGAGTAGAAAGGAGCTGGAGTGCACAGAGAAAGAAGAACGAGAAGAAAATTTACGAACGCATCTTGAGGAGTTGCAGCAGCAGTTACGGGAAAAAGAAAAGTTACAGATAGGTGTGTAGGAGATAGGTGTGTTCAATGTTCAATGAAAATTTGCAGAGAGATAAGTAGAAGTGCTGATTTAAGGCAACAAATTGCGATTCTTGAGGATAAATTGGAGTCACAGCTCCAAGACCGAAATATTTGTTATTGCTCTGGATGTGGCTCAAGCTTTAAACTACTTTTACCAAAAGTAGTTTACCATGCCAAGAGTAAATTCTGTTCAAATACAGAGTAGAAGTTACTTAAGACATTGCATATTGGGGAAGATGCTGTTCCAAGGGTCAGATCTGCTGTTAACTCCTCATTTAACCTTGTAGTTGTCGCAAATTGTATTTTGGTGAAACACCATGGAAGATGCATTTCAGTTCTGGCTCAACTTTTCATCAAATCCCCAGCGAAATAACCCCCAGCATTTTGTCACTCATTCAAACGAGACTCTGTTACATTTGGAATGCTGTAATAATAGCGGACTATGTATTGAGGGTAGCCCTAGAAAAAATAATCTGCGATCACACGCCCCTTCCATCTGTCTAAGACTAACATGACTACAATCTTGAGGTAAGAGGCTCTCAATGGGGTCAACTATTAGCCGTAAAACGGCATAAATTTGTTAAGCCTTTACATGTAAACTTAACAAAATTTAACGGTTAGACGTAAAAACAGTGAACTTAAAAAATTTTCCTCGTAACCTCAAACGGAAAAAAATGAATTGTTAGCCGTAAAATGTCCATAATTTTGACCGTTCACGGTGAAAGCCAACACCCCTATAAGAGCCTCAGTGAAGAGCCGTGAACTTTTTTTAGAACCGCTTCAAATAACTTTGTTCGTAAATACGTTCGCTCCCACAAGATGTCGTACATTGATCCAAAAAACAAAACAAAACAAAACGAAAGGGAAATCATCTTCCTTTGCGCATTCAGAACTCTCGACCCAACGGTAACCGCAAATACACTCCCATCCCCTTGGGACAAAAAGTATTGTGTGACAAGAGCTTACGTTGGGTTAATAGACTACTAAAATTCCGAATGCCTGAAACTGGCGATATAATTCAAAGTATATTTTGCGTAGAAAATACTTCGCCTTGCAAAGTAATGTAGATTTATTTGTGACAATTGGCAGTTTTATCTCCCATTCTCTCCGTTGAATAATGAGTGACTTTTTTTAGAAAGTCTAGAATGAACAGGTAGTGGCCAGCCGTCACAAATGACTTCACATTCACCCAACAGATTACCTTGGTACTTTGCTGCGTTTCATTTTGAAGGTAGGGTGTTTTAGTCATGCATTGAATGTTTTCAAACTAAATGGTTTTCAGCTGCGAAAGTAACACACCGAACTGTTCAAATGAATAGCTGAACTTAAATGACTACCCTACATCGAAAGCAGCTTGGAATAGCTTGGAAGAACACAAAGGGTTTATATTTCCGCCATTGGATCGTTTTGGATGGCTTAGCCTTACTATTTTTGTTGTGGTAGCAACTCCACATGTCAAGCAAATATACTAGAAAGCCTTCGAGTTCCACTCAGTGACTGCATGAGGTGATTTGAATGTAATATCCGTTGATATAACATTTGGCAGTCAAATTCAAACGATTTATTCGGCTGGCGTGTGAAGGAACTAAATGAGTGCAAGACTCTGTTTGCTTAGCGAGTGTATTATGATATAATATGACGCTTACATGTTGCGCATTACAACCTCACCTCTCAATAAACGATGATCATTGTAATGTTTGCCTGGATAGCACAATACTGGGGATCTGAGAGTACATGGTGGTTCAATAAGTTATCTATGTTATGCATTACAATAAAAATACTAAGAACTAAAGCTATATGATAAGGAAAGATTCCTTTAGTATAGAGATCAGAAAATTCTTCTAAAAGGAAAGTCAGTCTTAAAATAATTGAGAAGGAAACCGTTATTTCATCTGTTTCTTGAAATTTGATGAGGCAGCTAAGCTTCTACCATATGTTTAAGTCTTATAATGATCTGGTGGCACACACAACAAAAATATATGGCCCAGTCCATTTCATGGAAAAGTAGAAGTAAAAATATCTCTTCCAGGTTGATGCCCTTAGTTTTTTAGCCATGCTTTGACTAAACATTTAACACAAGAAATAGTACCATGACTATCATTGATACTATGATAGTGGAAACTGGAAACAAGTCCTTGGAAATCCAAAGGGGAAACCTTAGACATGGTTGGGTATCTCACTTGTTGACTTGGTGGAAGGGATGAGTCCAGGAAGGTAAAACTGTTGCTTGAGGGATGGAGATTTAATATTACTGATTGAATAAAACTGAAACTCAAATATAGGACCTTGTAAGACTACATGTACAGCCATTTTCTGTAAAATCATAATTGTTTAATTCCCATGTAAGTTTTGCTTTTGGGCAGTCTTAAGTCTAAAGGCCATGATGGGTTCATGGTTAGGTGTAAAACAATTTTCCCACAAATCAGAGGCTAATTTACTTTGTGCTTGATGGAATTAATTCTAAGTGTTCTTATTTTTTGTACATTAGAATACAATTAGAATTTTCATATTGATGCTTCTGGTAGTAAATTTGGATTTTTTTTTTTTTTTTTTCTTGTTAATAAGAAAATGGGAACCAGTGAAGAAGGAACCAAATTTCAGTGCAAGGTCTGACCAATATTTTTCAGTTGCAACTTTTACTGATTTTGCAAATTTATGAGTCAAATTCCCCCTTTTCCTTCAGTTAAATTTTTAAAATTGTTTTAACACTGTTTTGCTTACTTTTAATTCAAAGCTTGTAGGGATAACAGATGTCGCTAGCCCAGAGGGTGGGGAGATGTGTGCTGAGGCTTTAAGGAAATTAAAGGTGCAGTATACCTGTTCATGAGTCATGTTAGTTCATGAACTTGAATCAAAGCTCAAATTTATTTTTTGTCATAATGGCAATTATAAGTTGTGTTATATTTCTAAAACATGACAATTATAGGCTGTGTTATTCCTTGAACATGCCACCATAAAACTGCCTGAATTGCATTATTATAACCTACCAGTAAGTACTAAAAACTTCTCAGTGTACTTACCACAGGCAAGTCTGCCAATATGACAAATTGTTACTGCCTATAGTTGATCATGAAAGCTTGTCATAAACTGCCCTTCATTCAGCCCAATCTGGCACCTGGCCCCTTCTCTATTGCCTTGCCCCAATGCACAGCAATTTCTTTTCACTTATCCTTCTGGTAACATAATAATCCTCTCAGTCCTGGAATTATTATTATTATTATTATTATTATTATTGTTATTTATACTAGGCTCAGGTGAAGAAAAAGGGGCAACACAAAGAGAGGGTGACACTGACTATAAGTTTGGAAGGTATCAGGATAGAAGATGAGACTACTCGAGTAAGTATGCAAATAAGTCAAATATTATTTAACCACCATGGTGTGATTGCCAGAGACACAGTGACATATAAGCTGCACCTATGAGTGTGTAACTCGAATTTTGGAAAAAAGATTTTTTTCAAAAGATTGGGGAATCAAAATGCCAAGTAAAACTATGCAGTGTATTTCTATCTCTACATCTTATCCAATATATTTTTTTTAATCAAAAAAATATGAAATAAGTTAACTCTTAAATCTCATCCAAATATTGCTTTCACTTTTTCCATCTAATTACCAAAGAGAATTTTCAAGGGGCAGTGTATGGTTCAAATGTTTTGTTACATTTTACATTATGTTTTCTTTACCCACTGACTTATCCATTTACTTATTTATATTTTCATTTATCCACTCAAGTCAAAAATAGCTAGAGAGTAGTGAACAAAGGAAGGGCTGATCAGCAGAAGGGAAAGATACGATTAAATCTCCAGGTGCCCCTTCCATCTCAGTACATTTTGTTGTGTTTTTATAGGTTTTACTGATGTATTTTTTTTTAGGAAGTGCAGCATATGCATCCTGTCAAGAGAATATCATTTGTCACTCCTGACCCAGATGATAAGAAAATATTTGGTTATGTTTGCAGTCAGCCTGATTGTTCCACTGGATATACATTCTATGCTCTGAAGTCAGAAAATGTAAGAAATTAAAGAAATTATTTGCTTTGTTGACTGAATTACAGGAAATGCATGGGCTAATTGTAGGAGACATGATGCATGGTCTTGGTTTGAGACATGTCTTTTCACCATGTTTTGTTGTGAATGGGATCTGATGTCTCACTCTCCCAATGCCTCTCTCTGCTGAGGAACATATGGAGGTATTAGAAAACTGCTAAAGAATTAACTTAGCTGACAAATTGCTGCACTGGGACAACTATTATGGCCCAGGATTCAACTAGGGTAAGGATGCATGCAGTATCCCTGGTTATGTCATATGCTCATGAAAGTGGAATGAGCATCTGGATCAAGCTCCAGCAGCAAGGGTCATGGGCTTGACAGTAGACTTACCTCATAACCAGTAACTAATAGTTGGTTTCAGTTATACATATGTCATCACCCTTTATATGGAAAAGGTATCCAAGTCTTTTACTGTTCAAAGAGATACGCAGGGGAATGTATTTCATATCTAATTATGACAATACAAATGGAGATGCAAATTAATTCTGAGTCATCTAAAAATTAATTGATCTCCTTTTCCCACATTCTCTTTTCTGTATGACAGTCAAATTCAATTTTTCAATAATTCAAGGGAATTTCTTAGTCAGCCAAAAAATTTTCAAATATTGAGCTACCCAAAAATTCCTGTTTCAGTTAATTTATTGTATATGCTTTTGTGCCTCTCTGAGAGTGGCATTTCCTGCTGAAAAGAAACCATTGAGGAGAAAAATTTTTGTCAGGGAACTATGCAAATTGTTCAAGAGGAAAATACTTTAAATCTACTTTACAATAGTGCACTTTGATTTGAAGGCTTGCAAGACTTCTCGGCTGCAAATTTTTAGCTTCAAATTCACTCATGCAAATAAAAATTTTCATAACATTTAATCTTAAATATTGCTCATTAAGCACTTGCAATTATTAATTATTCTAAGCATGTGTTATTTTTTCTTTCAGGCAAAGGTCATAATTGATGCCATTATTGAACTTTTTGAGGTATCAGTAACTCTTAGACAAAGGGCTGGATCAGCAAAGGAGCAGGTCACCAGAAATTCATCAAATGGTACTGACTGCAGAACCATTGATTTTGTTGAATGATTATAACTACTGTAAAAGACTGTTCCACAAAAATAAGTATTTTAAAATAACTCGTATGTACTGGTCTCATATTTCAATTCTTATTTTAAAGTTACCATGTTATATGCTATATTGCATGATGTTTTAATGGTGTGTTCATGAGAAAGTAAGTTTGTCACTGACTGACAATGACTGATAAGTTGAGGGAATTTTACTCTTCCAACGATCTTACTGATCGTCACATTCTCTTTTGAAGAATGAGGTGATTCTTAGGCAAGTACCCTACTCGACTAGCTCGTCCGTATCATAATCATTAGCAGTTTGGAGTCATTTTTTTCCAATGAAGAAGTCCACTCTCTTCTACTTTTTCAGTCCACTCTCTTTAGTTTGTAACACGAACTAAATTTGCGAGAGATTCCTGTTATCTCACTGTCGTAAACTGTACCTTTTCGTAGAGGAAAGTACGCCTGATAAACAACACATGTCTCTACTATGTGGAACTTTTTGAAAAATGGTAAAATAGTGAGCAGCAATGCACGAGCTGAAATAGGAATAACTTGCTTCTTCTTGTAATTTGCACTGCTATTACATGAAAAATGCATCCGTTTTCAGCCAATCAGATGCGCTCAATTTTTTCATGTATATCATTATTATTAAGGGTATTAGCTCAATTTGAAGACAACTTCTGTTAGGTTCGGTCATAGTCTTGTATTCAGACCTCTCACGGCCAAGCAGTTGAGTGGTCCCTACATTTTAGTCACAGTTAAACGGTAGGATCTAGGTACGAGGTTAGTTCGGTCAGTCTTTGGAATCTCTAATCGTGGCTAGTAGTAACTGCTTGGCACTTACGTTAACAAAGATAGAGGTCATTTGCGTGCAACCGAGGATCTTCTTTCACTGAGCACGAGAATGTCTCAAGTGGGTGAGCTGTAGTGAATTCGGTACATTTCTTGACTCCCGGAAGTAAAAGAAACTGTCGTTTTTTTCGCTAGAGAACCGGACCGAGCTACAGGAAATGAGAACTCGTTTATCCAACTTACAGGCACAGCTCAGGCAAAAAAAGATGACCAGTTGCGAGAGAAGGAAAGGATTAATGTAAACCTCCAAACTCGCTTGAATACAAAAAATCAACAACTGGAAGAGAAAATTAGACAGGAAGAGAATTTATACCAAAAACTGCGAGCAATGGAAGAGCAGATTTCACAATCTCAAACACAACTAAGGGAGAAAGAGTCGGAAAAGGCCAACCTGTTAAAGGAAAGAGATCGCTTAAAACGGAAACCTGCGTGCAATGCATCAGCTGAAGACCAAAATGCAAGAGCAGCTGGAGAGAAAAGAGCAAAAATTAGTTGAATCGGAATTGCGATTAAGGGAAATGAATTCGCAAACAGAGATCTTCAAGTTCAGATCAGAGAGAAAGACAGAGCAACTGTTGCTTTGCAAGAACGATTAGGAATTACGGTACAACAAGTTGGCGAGCTAGAAGAACAGCTGACAAGAAAAGACCGGGAAAAAATGAACTAGAAAGAAGCCTTTCAACAGCTCAGCAGATATTACGTGATAATCAGGCTCAAAGATCACCAGACTGGGTTATTCCACGTAATCAAATTCAGCTGACGACCAAATCCCTCGGTAGAGGTGCTTGGGGAGAGGTTGTCCAAGGAAGGTTCTGTGGTTGTGTCGTTGCCGTGAAAACGATACATGATTTGATTCTTTCTCCTCACAACCGCAGGTTGTTTGAACGAGAAATGGACATTGCCTCGAGATGTCGACACCCTTGTTTACTGCAATTCATTGGAGCAACAAACGACGACCATACACCTTTGTTTCTTACGGAGATCATGGAAACAAGCTTGCGAGCACTGTTACAGGAAAGATTTCTTTCTCAGACAGAAATCACCGTTATTGCTCTGGATGTGGCTCGAGGACTAAACTACCTCCACCAAAAACGCCCCATCCCTATTCTTCACCGTGACATCAGCAGTGCAAATGTGTTACTCTGGAGACAAGGTACTCAATGGCGAGCTAAAGTGTCAGATTATGGCACTGCTAATTTCAAGAAACAGACCATGACAGTTGCACCTGGGGCTCTAATCTACAGTGCACCTGAAGCACGCGCTACAAACCAAACAGTCCATGTTAGCTCAGATTGATGATCTAACGGCACTTTTTTGACTCGATGAGATTATTCGTGCTTTTTGATTCCAATTTATTTTATGTGCTATACCTTTGGACATCGTAACATTTTGATGGAGAGTAATATAAAAGCCTCCTTTCTCTGTAATTGGGCATTTTCTTCACGGGTAGTTCTCTTCTTTACGATGGCCGCCTTTTTTACCTCAGTTTTGGAACTAAATCTTTCCAAACTTGAACCACCAGTCGAAAAAATTGCTTTCCTCGTATAGAAATGGTGCTCTTATATGTAAATTACAGTTTGCAAAAGTAAGAATTTGAAAAGTAAGAGGTGTCTCATGATCACTTATTCATAGTTTGCTCAATAATGGGCAATTGCCCTCGCTGTGAAAAGTACTGAACAGTGACGATTATTGGCATGAGCCTTTTTCACCTCATTAGAGGCTCAAATACACTTTAAAGTGAGAGAGGAAACAATGCTTGAATGTTGTTTCCTCCCTCACCTTAAAGTGCAGGAGGGGATTTCTTAGGAAAAGGCTAAAATCGAATCATTTCTGTAACTGCATTCGCCGTTAAAAGCGTTGGTTTAATAAGATTCCCATGCAGCAAGAGTTACTTTCTTCATATTCCGCCTATTCTGGGTATTTTCCCACAATAGCCGTAAAAGCATGCACGGTGTTGTATCTCTCTGTGCTGTCATTTATTTCTTCATTTTCTGTGGTCAGGTTGATGTTTACAGTTTTGGTGTACTTCTTTGTGAGATGTCCATCCGTGAATTACCAGATCCTGAAAGACGAGAACAACAAGTAGCAATGTTGGCAAACAACGTGCTTCGAGCTCTTATCCGAGGATGTTTGGAAACAGACCCTCAGGCCAGACCAACTATGGAAGAAATAATTAATGAAATAGAACCGGAGGTGCAAGGCACCTTTTGATAGAGTTTTCTTATCAACTTCAAACATAATGTTGTCTGTATGGTTTTCAGTATTGCTACTGTACTAGACGATCACATAGAAGATCCTGTAAAGAAAACTCTATCTTTCCCGATGTAACTTAAGTGTACGGATGTATCTTCTGAAAACCTTGTAGACTTTTTCCGTCTAGGCGTGTTTAGCTTTCCATTATTCCTTACCTAGGTAGTTACACGCTAATCTCGTAAGGATTTAGATGAAAGCGTCCGTTTGGTGTGTATTAAGCGGAAGCGTAAAAGAAAGAAGGTACAGTCCGATAACACGAAGAAGGAGTCATTTTCAGGCAGCTGCGACCGAGCCTTCTCAGTGTAAATCATCAATCTTATTGTCAGACTCATTTATCGTCTGCAAATGTAATAACATACTATTATGATTTTTTTACCTAACGCTACAAAACTTTCGTCCGTTGATTGAAGTTTTTATGGCCATATTTGTGGTGTGTTGGTTTGGTTGGACTAATTACAGCTATCATTTTGAATTTTTTGTTTTTGTTTTTCGTGTGTTCTGATCGTTTGGGTGAGAGCGGTACTGAAAGGATTGCTCTTGGTAAGAAAGAATGACCTTTAACAAGCTGAGCGGGAGACTCTGGTGATGACTTCCACTCAGGGTGTCGAAAGGACACTGGAAAAGATCCTTTTAGGACTTCTCTAACCTCTTCCTTCTGGGTTCAGATCATTTACTGTAAAAATACCTCACGATGTTATGCGACTCAGTATTTTCCTGAAAAGTGACAGTAATGATATTTATCACCAAAAATGACGATTTTTTTTACTTATGCCTTTTTACTGACCAAATTTCCAGAAGAAAAATTTGTTCCAAAACCGAGTAGTGGTTATTCATCAGAATCCACAATAAGTAAAACCCTGATCTAAGCGTTCAAAGTAACAAATCAGTAAAGACATGATCCTTGATAGCGAACATCAGTAAAGAAATTCAAGAAAAGAAGTTTGCAAAATTCAGACTTCGACAGGATTCGAACCCGAGCACTTCCGGGCGCTATAACCAACTGAGCTGCGGATCTTCAAGTTGGAATTATTGCAAATTCTAGTGGGATTGTTATTCTCGTAGAGAATTATATTAAATGAAATTATTAATGTTTTGATCCGAGGATGAAATACAATGTAAAGAACCAATCTTTACAGGTGAGCTCCAGCTAATGAAATTGCAAAATAGAAGCTCTTCCCCTCGTCTTATCTACAAAATTTCTGTGGTCTTCCCTTAAAAATCAGTAGAACTTAGAATTTCAGAACTTTCTTATTTGCTCATAACTTTTAATTTGGCCATATATCATTTCCTTCAGTTCTTTAAGCACTTATGTTGTCGATTTTGATCCTCATCTGTAAAAGATCGTCTTTGTCAATAGTTGTTGTTGCGTGGCGAAAGCGATATGTTTAGTTGTTTACCTTAAGATCTTTGTAAGATATTCTAAATTCTCTGCGATTGCATCAAAGAAGTTACTTTTCATTTTCCTTTAAGACTAATTAATTTATCATTGGCGCTTTCCTTCCACAATAAAACGACATATACTACGGGTTACGCACAGGAACTTTTAGTTAGTGCTTTGAAAAGTCCAGCAGTGCTCTAGCTCGGCAACTGCTCCTTTGTTTCCTTAACGCACGAGACGTCGCAGTCCCAGGAGCTAACTGTGTACCCAAGAATAGTTGAGCTTGTTCTTGTGAGGGAAACAAAACTTAATAAGATAGCAGCTCTGCAAGTTAACCTTGAAATCAACTTAGACGTAAAACCAAAGACCTCAGTCGTCAGCAAAAGGTGTCAGGCTCGTACCAAGGTGATCTCACATGATAACCACTTGCTAAGAAGCGAAGAAATTCTAGTTTGTAATGATAAGCCTGGCACGACATAAAGTATGTACAACTCATCTAAAACATTTCTTATGCAATTAAATTAAAGAGTAAAAAGGAATCAGTTCATTGTTGAAACTAAAACTTAAAAATTAAATTACTGTGCATGTTAACTAAGAGCCCAAATAGAGAGTTTAATGCCTACTTCCTCTATGCCCAAACATAGAGTTTAATGCTTCCTTTCTCCAAGTTTCGCGTCCTTCATATAGCGAAACTACCAACAAATGTTGCGCTCTTTCCATCGCTCGCAGTGCTTGTAAGTTTGATTTTCCATGGTAGTAGGGGCGGCTGTTTTGGAATATCGATGAATGTAGACTTATTTAACCATAAGTAGCAGTAATGTCGCGATCTGATCGGCCAATTTGCCGTTGTCGATGAGAGTAAAGACAACGCCGCTCGCGTCCACTTGTCACGCAATGGTCACGCACTTAAAGAATCATTTTATTTGACGTCGATATTGTGGCCACTGAGATGACAATTACCGTTGGCGATAAGAGAATAGACCATGCTAAACCTTTGCCAAGTTGTTTAAATATTGAAAAAGAAGATTTCTTTCGTCTGCTCCAAATCACTTTCTTCTCAGAGTACTTTTACATTTTTCATGGTGAAAAAACATCTCTTTTTGATATGAAAACATAATGAATCCTGAAGGAAGCAAGTTGTTTCGATATGATTGTCCAACGGTCAACTCATGGCGAAGTTAATGATTGAAGAGATTAAAGCTTGACAGTGATTGAAAAGAGCCCTTTACCGAGACACCAGAAAAGAGGGAAGATTTGGCTTTCGTAAGTGCTGTAGTCGTTTTTTGTTGATAGAAAATTGTAAACTATATCGTGGATTTTCAGTAAACACTTTTAACAAGAGCTAACATAGAGTAATAACATATAGAGTACTTCACATTTAGCACATCATTTGGGCTGAAGTCAAACTTTAAAGCCAGCAACTTTATATTAGGAGGCTTTTCTCCAAGTGTTTATAATTTTCAAATTATGAGCGATTTGCTAGAAGGCAGTTACCCATCTGCTCTCCTTCCAGCCCTTATGTCTACGACTGAGACATCAGGCATCCCTAATTTACACAACCACCAACACTGGCGGCGGAGCGCACCATAAGATTGCATGAAACCCTTAAAATTCAATTCGGTACGGCGCTAGCAGATTCCTCCCCCTTGCTAGCTACGTCCTCGTCTCCGGTTTTTAGGAAGCGGAAAGCAACTCTCTTTTGGGTCTCTAAGTTTCACGATAACCACTTAGGAACGAGGCCGAGTGGCAGAGAAGAGTTTTTTTTCAGTATCTCTTTTATCTCAGGTACTACTAAATTTTTCTGTATCGATTAACAGTATACATTCTCAATTGCTTTCCGTTTCCCTTCGAGCGACTGATCAGTTCGTAATCAGTTCTTGGCAAACTTTAAAATATTGGCGTATTTGCTGTTTTTGTTCCACAATGCAACTAAATTGAGTTTTTATCCTTTCATTTTGTGTAAATACGTAAGCGTTTCAGCTCCACTCTAAATAATATCAGGTAGGCTTGATGGTGAGTCTTCCCAGGCAATTTTAAGAGTGTTGGGGTCTTGTAAATAAAGGAACTAACCCGGCTTCTAAAATTTACTTCTCATGATTCAATTGAGGAATGGTTTGGGTATAATTCCTAACATTCTTCTTGTGTTTCTTTCAGTTTTAAACCTACGGAAACAATTAAATTTAAACCTTTCAAATTTTCCAAAATTCCCCTTCCACTCATCCGCCGACTTGGTTAGCGCTGGCCGTAAACGAGCCCACAGTGCGGTGCGATGATCCCAGAGTGCAATACGCTCGTGGTGTCTGCGAAACGTTATGCGTACAGAACAAATTGATCTGCACCCTGTTCTGACTGTGGTGTAACATTAGGGAACATCGTACGCATCGTTTAATTTGTCCATTCAGTTTCAAAGCGGATGCTGTAACAGGTTATAGAGCCCGGAAAAAAGTATTGTATTGCTTAAATATTTTAATTTTTGAACTTGATCGGCTGAAGTATAAAAAACTGGTTTTTTTCCACGCAGCTGAGAAAACTATCCAAGAGCCAACACAAGGTAGCACTTCACTCTATTTGCTTTAGAAGACCTTTATGAAGCAAAGAAATCGGTAAGTCACCACTCCTAGTTGGTACTATTGTAATTGAGGGCTGATCATGATATTTTTCATTGTTTGAAGAGCATCTATGGATTATCTGATTCAGTTGTAACTCGACATTCTATAATGACGGTTTCTTTAATTAATGGCCACAGAAGCCAAAAAGCCGGAAGAACTTTTACTTATAGTCTGTCTTTAAAAAGAGTTAATTACAAAACAATTTACACTTTGCTATAAAGCTCAATTCTTTCTGTTAGTTCAAAGAAAAATAAAGTTTATACAGTGAAAAATTTAGATAAGTAACCCTATAATCATCGCCATGCCAATGGATTTGAAAGGCTTTTGGTAATACTGAATTCGGAAAATGGGTGATCTGTCGCTGGGTTTCAATGTTTCAATGTTGTGTGTGTGGACACGAGACAAGCATGATACTCAAGTTTTGTTGCACTTTGACATGAGTCTTTGATCTTTGCAATTCTTGCATTGACTAAAATCCTTGAGGGGAAAGCCAAAATGTTTTTCTCAAACATCAAAGAAATCACTCTGGATATGTTTTTTGGCATACCTCATTACACTGAGAACTTATAGAAAATCACTGTCCGCTATGAAAGTGTTGTAAATAGAAGGAAGCTAACTACTGTAACATTAGTACCAAAATGGCTTAGGCATAAGCAAAGTTATAGTTCTAAGCTAGTACATGAGTGGTCAATTTAATTTGTAAACCCCTCAAATAGTTGTTTTCCAACGCATAGAGTCATAAGTACATTCTTAGGGTGATATGACCCAGCAACTCTGATAATAGGACTGCAATGCAATTCTTTGGTCACTTCTTTGCTGATTGATTCCAAGGTAAAAGTTGAAAATTACTAGGTATGCTTTGTTGCCAGCACAAAGTTTAAAGTGTTCCTCCTTTATGTTGTCCATTTATGTTGCTTTTAAAAACCTGGATTTCCTCTTTTTTCAGGGATTACTAAGATTAAGGAAATGGCAACAACTGTCTTTCTGAGGCCACTCCCTAAACCTGACTTCGCATTCAGATGCCAGGTTTGATCCTTATAATTTTAATTATCCTTTTAATTATCACCATTAAACCTATTATCAGTGTTATTATTGTTACTGTTCTTGATATTATTATATCTCTCCTCATGAATTAACTGCTCTATAACAAGGATTTAAAGCATCTGGTTTATTATCTGTTATATTATTCTCTGGTGAGTAAACTGTGGTTGACTCAAGATAAAGTAAAGTACTTTGTGCTGGTACAATCACATGATTCCAATTGGAGTGTGATATAAATATATCCATGGTATTTTCTAAAATTTATCAGTTCTCATAAATTTATTCCAAATAGCACAGGAAAACTCATGGGATTACTTACTAAATAATATACAGTAATAATCACTGAGTCACCTCATAAAGTCACATAGAGGCAAAGCTCTCAAATCATAATAATAATAATACAAGAATTTATATGGCACCCTCTCCATGAGCTCAAAATCATGTGCAAGGCTCAAAATAATTTCCAGCTATTGCTGGTCAAGTTGTTCAGTCAAACCTATTATTGCTCAGACACCAAGTTTTGGCCAGAGAAATGTCTATTGTGTAATACCTCAGTATATCCTGGGCCCCCCCCCCAGTATATTTTTCTGGCATTTTCCCTCCTCCATTACTATTGTGCTGTTTACTATTTGTTCCATTTTACCAATGTTCTGTTCAAGTAATATCTGCCTCTCCTTATATTTAAGCAGTTCAGAAAGCCACAAAACTTTAGAACAAAAGTTTATCAACGAACACTTTTCGTCCAGCTAATTTATTCTTTTTTTTCTTGTGACCATGTTCCCACCAATAGCGTAGCTCCTTTTTCTGCATATGAAGACACATGCAACCCACAATTCCTTTATTCACTCTGACGCAGGGCTAATGCTCCAAATGTCAGCTTTGAAACTGGTAACAGAGGCCAATTTATGTTATCAACTAAGTTAATAATACCAAATTACCTTCCTATACTCTCCCAATGATGCAGCACCACAGTCTCTTTAGAAACTTACCCCTTTAGACCTACTACACTGAGCTACACCTGCTACACTTACTGCACCAAACTACACCAAACTACAAAAAACTACACCTACTGCACTAAGGTAGACTTAGTTTACTGAATACTTGATTTTATGATAGAATAAATGTTAGTTTTTTTCTTAGGTAGTGTAAAACCTTGCCACATTTTTTGTGAAAGTAATCATGGATCTCTTATAATTATAATCTGATCAAGATTCAGGGATTAGGAAGGCCGTGCGCCATGCGCGGCGTATGGCTTATATAAAGCTCTGAAATGGCCCATTATAAAAATACTTACTGGGCCTCTGATGCGCCCTGACCGCACAAAGCTAGTGAAATATAAACTATTTTGTGAAAAGGATTTTAATTTGTAAAAGTTTCACTTTGGTGAGACATAAACAAGCGAAAAACTACGGTGCCTTCGCTCGTTTGATCATGCTCACTTCATTCTTGTTCCCAGATCCTGAACTCGGACTTTGCATGCAAACAAGGCTATTGCTCGGAGTTCCATGTGCTTTCGTTTTTGAGCAGAGTTCTAGCGTTTTCATCGCTTTGAATGTATTTGCATCGATTAGCCTCATGCCTCCAAAAAAAATCTCCGAATGGTTGATAGCAATTTATCATCACCGTTTTGTTCTGGTGGTCACACGACATTTCAAAAACCTTGAATGGTTGGATGGTTATTCATGGCAACGGTTTTTCATGCCTAAAACCATGTCTCTGTATAGGTATAGACTGTAATACACAAGCAATAAACCTTTGTTAAAATTTTTACTGGCCCATTTATTTACCCTAATGGCCCAAACGTTTTATAAATGGCCCATAACATTCCAGTGATAGGGGCCATAGGCCCATTTGCCTGTTAAACCTTCCTAATCCCTGGAGATTCCTCCAAAAAGAATTACGTAAGATTGGAGTAAATTAGACATATTCTTCTCAAAGTTTCTAGGAGCTAAAGAAATGAAAGGCATCCTCAATGGGGCTGAAATCATCAGAATGGAAGCCATCTCGATTGGGGCTTTAAAGGAACTAGAGGTAATACACCCTTGACGTGTTGGATCCCAAAGCTGTAACAACACTTTAACATATTGTTATACAAGCTAAATTACTTAAAATGGTTTCATAATTGATTCTTTGATGGGTCAGTGTTTCAACACTTTTTTACTCCTAATCCCTGAAAAATGGAACATTGCTCATCAATTTTCTCTCAATAATTAATGATGATGTGACAGGAACAATACAGCTTGCAAGATACAGCCCAATTTCACATTTATGGGCCTGCAACTTTTAAGAAACAAATGGTAATGCCAATTTTTAATATTTAATTGCAATCAGCATATCAAGGTCCATCTTACTCAAAGTTGCCTTTAACCCTTTAACTCCCATGAGTGACCATGAGAGAATTTCTCCCTACAATATCCATACAATTTCAAGCAGACATGTGATGAGAATAAAGAGAAATATCAAATAGGGGATTATCAGTTGATCCAGTAACAAATTCTCAGAACTAAAATCATAAGAATTGTGCAGCAGTCAGTAAGGAGAATTACTAATAAGATCTTGGGAGTGAAAGGGTTAAACTCCCGTCACATGTTGCTGTTTTGTTAACATTCAACAATAATATATAATTATTATTCACAGAAGGTGAAGTGAGTATTGTTGTAGAATATTCACTGAGCATAAGGCAAATAATTGTTTTAGTATGGTTGCTTGTAGGTGCTTTTGAAATCTGTTGTAAATGTTTGTTTTGACATTGAACCCATTCTGTTTCAATTGTTTTGATTACTCATGTTAAGATAAAGAGCCAGTTTCCACTAGGATTTGATAAGTTTATTAAATTCAATCAGCAAAATCTTCATGCCTTTCTTTTGAAAAGTGTCACTCAAACCTTACTAGCATCTTTTTGTGCTATTTGGAATTGAATTTGCTTTATCATGTTCATTACTTCTTCTGTAACACTGACTAAACCTGAGGCAGCCATTTTGAAATTTAGTGCTCCTGCCATAATCACCTCAAACAAGATATGATACAATCCTCTACCAATCAGAGGCTGTACATCTCAAAAATCACTGGAGAAATTATAGTAATATTAATTATGTTCAGTGTGTGTGAGGCAAAATCACTGAATTCAAAACTGCATTGTAACTGAAGTTTAAACAATCTGTGAAGTATGTTCAGAGCCACCTTAAATACATTACACTGTTGTAGAATTAAGGTGGCACTGACTCCACAACACCCCTATATTTTGAACTTTGTAAAAACAATCAAATTTGATATGTTAATGCAAGGAGCTCACACATACCTGGGTTTATGTACTTGTAACATTTATGTTTGGGAGCAGAACATGTGGTTCATTTATCACATGCATGAATATAAATTTGGGAAGGGCTGCAACTTTTCATGCATAAATCAATCTGATTGCTAAATGTTGCTGTAAATTGTAATTCGTCTTTGTAGGCACAAACAAGAGGCTTTTTGTCAGAATACATGAAGACACATTGTAAACTATGTATTAATAAGAATGGAGATGTCTGGATTCAGCAAGAGGGACATCTTGTAAGAGAACAGAGTTTAGAATTTGTTTATCATAATATTGTATAAATTTTATCCAGAGAATTTAAACCAGTTCTCAAATCCAACCTCAATTTTTAAAGTCTATGTAACTTATCAGAATTTGTGCTGCAAACTTGCTTCTTTGAATTATCTCTCACAATGCTCAGAAGATCATAGTTAAGAAGACGTCTCTGAAAGAATCAAACATCTGGGAAATGAAAATTTTCAACCCCCCTTCAAATTTTGCATGCAGTTCAGCACTCAGGGGGATGCACAAGAATGCCCTTTTAAAGGTTGCAGCACTCTTGTTGCCATGGTAATAACTGCTGTTTGTTGAAGGCCGGGGCCTCATTTTCATACAAAAACGTCTCAAAAAAAAGAATGAAATGTTTAGTCTCTATCTCAAGCTAAATACAACATTACAAATTGGCACTTCCAGGGTTGTCAATAAGCGCCGGCGACCGGCGATATCGCCGGCTACTTGAACGTTTTCGCCGGCTGCAAATTGGTCGAGATAAGCGGGAAAAAAGCGGTCATTATCAAAACGCTTTAAAAAAAAAAAAAAATTAGAAACAAAAAAAACAAAAGAAAATTGATTTGTTTCACTCATAATTTCAATGTATTTGCAATGCGCGATTTACAACAGAAGTTTTGGCTCGTTTAGTTTCGTGTGCTGCATGATTTGCGAGTGAACAGATCAGGTTTGTTTACTTTACATTGTCGCCTTTTGTTTTAAAATTTGCATATGTCTACGCTATCTATATGTACTTTGTCATTCTGGTATAAGTTAGCGGTGTCAATTTTCGATTGAACTTATCTGATTTTCTCAAATGTAAATTAAGTTTTGAAAGACGGCAATTGACCGTAATTACCCGTAAAGTTTTAATCTTCACTAGTTCAAGGTGATGTCCATTCATTTACAAAAAAAATTAACACAACCAAAAATATAAAAAATTGTTGGTCGACCCTAGTTAATTTGTGATAATCGATGACAGATTATAGGAAATCAGATTATTTGAAACATAAACGTTTATACTGAAACTAAAGGTTAATAAAAGTCAAAGCTACTTGAGAATAAATTAATAAAACAAATGAATAGTCATCAACAGTACTGTTCTTTTCAGGAAGTGAAGCTTGTTAGAATTTCTGTGAGGAAAGGCAATTTTTGGCAGTGTCAAAACATCAAATTCATTTTGCTTCCGGGGGCTTAGCCCCCTGGACCCCCAACGGGGCTTTCCCCCTGTACCCCGCTGGGGGCCTCGGCGGCCCCCAGACCCCTCGCCTCTGTGGGGACCTTCGGCCCCCAGAGGCATTTACTTTCCTAATATCTCCGCCTACTTGAATTCTTATTGACAACCCTGCACTTCTACCATACATAGTGACATCATTCGTCTTCTCTTTGATTCATTCAATTTTCCCTGGGAGTGAATGCGAACACACCAATAGATTATTCATCTCGGTACAGTTTCAGTGATTTTTGTTGTAGGGTAAAACAGGGAAAACGTTTATCTGAATTTCTCCAAAAGTACACCAATTCTGGAACTGAAACTACCTACCTAGTTGGTTATAATATTCTTGCTTTTAATTATACAAAAATCTTTCCATAGGGGCAATTCGCGAACTAACTCAAATATCAGATATTAAAACAATTACCAATTTTGAGTTAGTTCGCGAATTGCCCTAATGGAAAAGGAAAGGCCAACCCGCAAATATTTGAAGGGGCTGAAAATGTTCATTTCCCAAGATGTTTGATTCTTACAGAGACTTGTTCTTAAGTTCTCTATAGAGGTGTCCTCTTGGACATCTTAGAAATCATTTTCTAGATGTGTTTGAAGTTTTTCTTTGGCTGTATTTTTGTAGTTTAAAGAGCAAAGGAGTTTCGCCACGGAAATATCACTCATTATTCAAGACCCAGATGACAAAACAGTATTTGGCTATATGCACTGTCTACGTTCCTTCTCAGGACCCAAATTTTGTGCTTTTAAGTCCGAAGAAGTAAGTGAAACCAAAGAGGCCTTGTGATAGTTTAGCTGAATTATAAGGAATTCATATTGCCTGTTTATTTATGGACGAGTTTAGACTGGGAATATTGTCTTCTTTAAAGAAAAACGATATGCAAGACCAGGCTTTGGAACTCATGGGGGTTCTTTCATCGGAACCAATAAAGATTGCTCAGTTACTTAGGGCTAAGGTAGAAAGAGCTCAGGTTGTCAAAGCAAATGGATTTGCTCCAAGGATTGCAGAAGGGTAGCTTATATAGTCTTAGAATGGAGTCATGTGTGACAGACAACCACTTGGAAATAAGTTTGATTTGATCCCTTGGCGCGGTTCTGTCTTTACGGTAGCTAGTATCAATCTGTTTGGTACTCAGGTTGCGGTAAAATCGCAAAAAATCTCCTTTTCACCGTAGTGGTGAAGGTTTTAAACTTTAAGAAAAAAATGCTGTGAACCGACCAGAATACCTACAGACACTGTAATTTCAGAAGTATAAAGATAATTTTTTGTGATGTCATTACATTTGAGCCCCAAAAAGTTATCTTCCTTTGCCAAAGTTCTACCGAAGGAAAGGTATTCCATGTGATATCCAAATCAGACAGATCTATTTCAGCAAACGCATAAACATTTGAGAATGAAAGGTTCGTACGTTCTTAGTTACACATTTCTCTTTGATGATTGAGGATGATTACAAGGGTAAACTAGTGCAAACGTATTGGCCATTTTTGAAAGTGACGTTACTAGCCAATTTTTTTTGTGCAGTTTTACCCCTCGTCTCAGAGGTAAATTTTTTTTCTTCAGACAAACACCTTTCATTTATAATACAGATTACAGCTTCAAGACTCGGAAGTGTATGTCTTGATGAGTTGCGAGCTTTTGATATATTGCATAACGTTTTTGCTCTTCAGGCCGAGGTTATCGTTAAAACCTTGGGGGAATATACAGGACTTACGAATAATATCATGGGAGAGGTGGCCGGACCATTAGATGGTATGTACTCGGACCTACACCACTTTCGGATCAGTTCTCCTTTAGCCGTTTAGGAAGTTAAAATGTATGACTAAAACATACAAATACAGAAGCAAAACCGGGAAAACCAAAAAAGCTATTCCATAAGACTTCCAAATTTTCATGTTTTTTTTTTAATTCAAAACATTATATATATTCGGGTCCCGATCTTGATTCATGATCCCATTAATTTTCTTAATTTGGATCTTTGCACCTTTTACAAGGATGTAGAGACCCCTTTCAGAATTTTACACATCTCCTGGGACAACCGCAAGAGAAAGAAAGGAAAGAGAGTTCCTATGATTGGATTATCAGCCGTAATGAAGTTCAAGTGACTAATAAGCGCCTTGGGTCTGGAGGTTGGGGAACGGTTTATAAGGGCAGATACTGTGGTTGTGATGTTGCCGTGAAACAAATCCACGAAGACTTTGCATCAGCTCATAGTCTTAAAATGTTTCAGCGTGAAATTGACATGGCTTCAAAATGCCGCCATCCATGTTTGCTACAATTTATTGGAGCAACTATTGACGAGGGATTTCCTCTCCTGGTGACAGAGCTAATGGAAACAAGTCTACGGCGACTTTTGGGGGAAAGACCTCTTTCCACTGGAGAAGTCTCCATAATTTCGCTGGATGTGGCTCGGGCACTGAATTATCTTCACCAAAAACGACCTGTACCGATGATTCATCGCGACATCAGCAGTGCTAATGTGTTGTTGTGGCGAAAGGCCGAACGAGAGACAGGCATTCACGAGGCGCAATGGAGAGGAAAGGTTTCCGATTATGGCACTGCCAAATTTGTAGAACAAGTCATGACTCAAATTCCAGGATGTTTGGCGTACAGTGCACCTGAGGCACGTACAACGACCCAAACAGCGAAGGTATCATTACTAGTGGTTTGTGGGCAATGTACACTCTATTTTGGCCAGAAAAGCAGAATGAGTTAAACGATCCATTTAATTAATAAGCACCCGCTATTTTTTTGTCAGCAGTGACCAAATTATAGTGAACAGTATGAGAGCATGGATAATATAAAAGCAGGGTTTTCTTAGGTATACAAAAGAACGAGGGTTGATCCAGTAGTTTATGATAACTGCATTTTATTTTTTGAATTGTGTACTTTAAGCATATCCTGTTTTTTTTGTAGCAAGTCTATCTGTTCAAAAGGAGAGAGAACACATGTGGATGAAACAGTGTTTTTCTGTTCTGCTTATAGTCAATGGTTCTAGAAAATTATCTTATATTAGGTAGCTCGCTATACTCGACTTGAAGTGACTTTAATCTTTACCTAGTCATGTTGTTGAATAATTTCTAGATTGATGTCTACAGCTTTGGTATTCTACTGTGTGAAATGTGCATTCGAGAAGTTCCAGAACCTGACAGGCGTGATGAGCAAGTCGACAAGATGTCAAACCAAGCGCTGCAAGAGTTCGTGCGCCAGTGTTTGCAAACGAACCCAGATGATAGACCAGATATGACAGAAATCATTCACAAACTTGAGCAGTTCCAGTGAGTGCTTAAGGAGTCTTGTCATATTGTTAAAGAGGGAATGTAAGTTTTAACACCAAAAATTTTCTCAAACAGCTAGCACAATCACACACGTTTCAGTACGTTTCTATGTCAGGGAGAGAAATTGGAATCAGTCAATCAAACATATCATTCTCTTCCTGGCGCGTGATACGTTTATATGATTTTGTTTCCTTTTTTTGGTTTTCTTATGTTTTTGGTGTTTTTCCTCAAGTTACAATACTTATACAATACTTATGGCACTCAATTTCTTAACGGAATCGAGTCTATATGTGGTTTATTTACGGTTCACGGAAAAAAAAAACGCGGGCCCCTTGATTAGACGTATCGTTTTCTGCACTCGTGAAATATGCTAAGTGCACCATTTGATTGTCTTTTGGCGGAACTGCTTGTTTAAAAAAAACCCAAGTTTCGCACCTTTTCAAAGGGTAGATGTCAGTTTTTATGTTATCACTAGGCTTTCCCTTCAGTCCTAATTATAACTTTCCGATATATATTTGTCTAAGTCTTTTTTTCTCTCAATCTGTGTGTTATATGCATTCATTATTTGCCTTGGTATCAAAGGCGTAATCCCGAAGTCGAAAGGGTAAATTAGTGCTGAAAATTAATGCACTAGAATCATTATGACACTTAAATAAACGTCCATTTACTCCGTAGGCTGTGACGTTTCATCCAGAATTGTCTCCAAGCAAGGCCTGAGACGAGATCAAGTATAGAAGAGATCATTTTCCAATGAGAACAACTATAGTAAGATTGTAGATTTAAGCTTTGTTAGCGTAAGGTAAATATAGTTTCTCGGTAATATTCTAGCATTCTTTACCAAAAATTGTAGATAACGTGGAAACTCATCTTAAAATTCACGGTCATAACTCTACATAATATAGCACAGGTAATAAAAAACATTATGAGATCAACGAGAAATTGTAGCGAGTTGAAACTTCAATTTTTGATTGGCTATTGTCAAGTGTTCCAAGTGGTATTGACGACAATATAATTTCCTCAGTGAGGGGGATTTACGATGAGTAAGCGACAGTCTTCTGTCATTACCTTTTCGCTGGCTGGATAAGCTCCATCTACTTAAAAGTACTCAACCTTAGGCCTCTCTGCAGATATAATGCTCCCACCTGATTGAGTGTCCATTTTAAGTCTTTCTGTGAGAACCTAAGGCGCCCTCGCTCAGAAAGTTGTTGCAGATACCTTTAAAATTACAAAAAAATTAATGCTCATAAAACGCCCACGTTCCGGAACCCGCCTAGAATTTTCCTAGAAAGATATTCCATGGAAAATTGCATGCTACCTTTAAATTAAGGCAGTTTTTCTGTGCATCACGACAACAGCAACACTCAGTTTAGGGGCCTGGTTACATGGTGCGACCTGGCTCGGTTTTGCTGAGATCTCGTCACTTTAACATAACAATAATTAACTTCGTGATTACATGACAACCGAGGCAGCCCGGTTAGCGAAAGTGCCGAGATCTCGGCAAAAACCGAGCCATCCCGTTTAGGGTGTCCAATTTTCGTAAGTTACTTAGAAGTAACAACAATACATTCTGCTTGATGTGGGCATTTAAAATAAATGCAGTATTTTCGTCGTTTTTAAGTGGATTCTACTGATAAATGGTGCCGAGCCATAGCGTTTGAAAAAAGTCCAGGGGTCATTTATGTTTTCACCTTATGCTGTAATTTTGTAACGTAAATTTTTCTGAAAAGCATCGCGAATTATTCCCTTTTAAATATCAAAACCTCAGGTTTCAGTGATATAAAGTTGTGTGTAATAAAATGCAAAGTTTTTGCACGAGCAAAAAGGCTCAAAGTTTACATTAAAATTGTATCACTTAGCACTCACTTTGAAGCCGTTAAATCACAAATTCCTTAGCTATTAGTAGCTCTACTCAATAAGAAATCTGTATAGGCTTAAAAGCCCTTCTGAGACAAACAACCTTTTTAGATGACTGCCTTATTAGAGAGGAGTCAAGCCTATAAAAAGACGAGGTAACACAAAAGCAAGAGCCAAAGGCATATATGTGGCAGAAGCTATAGTCCAGGAAATGGATAATAAAATTTTTTTTCTTAAAAGGTCAACAGGATATAGTAATTGTTTTCCTCCTCCATGCGTTTCATGACAATGGTTCACTGTAGTTGTATTTACCTATAGACAGACGGCTTTTTCCGGCCCTGCTAGCGCCATCTGCCACCTTCATACAGGGGATATTTTGCTCGCTCGCGCGCGATTGTTCTAAACGCAGCACGTGACCTAATAGCCCCCAGCTAAAAGTGGGTGATATCCGAGAACATCACCTCAGCGATATTCCCTAATTTTTAAACCTTGCGTCCAGTACAATAAGTCTTCGTTTGAAATTTAATTCAAGATGAGAGAGGGTTTTGTGGCTGTTACATGAAAAGGAGAATCTTTTTCGGTTCTTCAAGTCGTACCAGAGAACACTCAAAAGAAAACATCCCACGCTGCACACAGTAAGCTGTTCGTAAACATGGATAATATACACAATAGCCTTTGTAGGGCGCGAAAATTTGTACGGATATTTACCCTTTGCACTCGTTCCCGGTCGGTCGGGGGAGGGGGCAGATTGAGTTTTCCCTCACGATATGAAAGGAATGTCCAATCGCATCCAAGTCAAGAGCGAACATAAGCCCATCTTTGTTCCCTAAATCTGGCCATTTTTAGCTTCAAATATCGACCGTGTCTTGGTGTATTGCTGCCATGGCCTGGAAAAATCATGGCTTGGGTGCGCTGTCGAATCCTCGCGCGGTTTGAGGTCGCCGTCCATGCTCACCTGCCCAATGTGTGAGGTCTTTGTTTACCCAGATATCGCATTGCGACTATCAACTGATTAATTTTACTGGGATCTTCGTGTGTAATAGACAGTTCAGCGATGAAGTAAATTCTTCGTGATCATATTGGAGGCACCGGTAAGAACAGTAATACCTCTTTGCGAACACAAGTGCCGCGAGGCGAGCTGTTAACAGCTGCTTCCGTGTGTAGTCGGCAGATGAAAGAAGAATAACCCCTGTACCAATTGCCGTACTCTGTTGAATCTTAACTGTATTAGCGATCTAAGATGCTGTTGAACTTTCTGACGAAAACGCCAACTCGCTTTTAGCGATTTCATCGGACGAATCAAATCATCAGACATTAGTTGAGAGGAAACATTTGATAATCGCATCTAATATTTTTTCCAAAAGAGAGGTTCTTGTTTATGTGAAAGGATTACCTAACGAACAGCCTGGGATTGTGCGATACAAAGGCGAATTACCACCTAGCCTTAGAACTTGGTTTGAAGTTGAACTGAGATTAAGTGCCACTTGAATTTCTAAAGAGGTTTTTCGAAGGACGAGAACAGGTTCATTTTGCAATAAATAACTAGGAAAAAATTAAAAACAAGAGGAATCTCTCCTTAAAAGCAATCCAGCAAATTAGATAATTGTTACGTTTTAGCGAGAAATGGGCGACCACGTTCTCTTTTTCGGGACTTCATTTTGATGCCGTTGTTCGTTAAAAGTATGCTTTCCATTTTGTATTTTTCATAATGGAAAGCTAGCCATGTAAAGTATGCAGGATTTTGTTCGCTAAATTTTGTACTATTTAAGTCGTAACTATCAGCGTTTGCTGTAGGAGCCATTAATTTGAAAAAATTAATTAAAGGAGATCAACGAAATATTAACGATAACTATCGATAACTATCCCAAAGTAAGAGAGAGCCTTCTAATTTAAACAAGACTTCCAAACAGGAGCCTATTACCGAGAGAGGGTATTTTTTTAGGGCCACGTGTGTTTTGAAATGTCCCCCAGACTTATCAAAACCCTGTGTACCGAAGGGTTGGAATTTAGTTTTTAGAAAAAAACGAGCACACTGTGCATGAATGTCTGTAGAGCACGTCATGTGTAGCAGAAACTTATGCATATCAAACTCATGGGGTACAAATAGTCTTAACATGAATGTAGTGACCACGTCCACTTCAACACCCCACTCAAATCGAGTGTAATTTTCGAATGTTTTACCATCGTGCGGATTCTCTACGGAAAAAGCACTCAATGTACCTCTGAAATATTAAACTATAATATTGTGGCTTTCTATTTCGCTAATTTTCTAACTTGAAGGTAAAGTTTTTCCCTCGTCATTTTTACCTTTTCTCCGAGCGGTTGCGTGAAATTAACAAGGCGTTTTTGATCAAAACACGACCGAGCGAAGGGTCTCGGGCGATATCTCTTTTACGCAGGCGCAAATTAAAAATGTACCGCCAGAATCAAAAAGAGGAACAAATTTCCTTTGTTTTGATATGTAAAGTGTCGAACAAAAAGCAGATTTACCTTCGTCAAATGGCGTTTCAAAACAGCTGTATCTTCCTCCTTTTGATTTTTCCTGTTTTGTAAGCGTGAAAGCAGTAGGAGAGGGATCGGGAAACTCAGAAAGCGCTTCGGGAATTAATCTGCCATCGTTTACTTACAAGATAAACAAGTAAGATTTGTGAAGTTCGTTGAAGTATGAAGTCTAAATAAATGCCTTTTTAAAGCTTGTTTGCTGGATTTTTCGTAAACTTCCCTGATTAATTTTTCGTTTCAGCTTACTAGTCTATACTATTTCAAAGCAATGTCAAGACGAAGACGGAGAACCATGAGTCGGTCCTTTCAACAATCGTAAACAAAGTGTTTGAGCAATCAGGTATACGAGGTGTAATAATCAATAGCCGCATATCAGAAGTCTTCAGAAAGAAAGTATTCTGCCTTCAGAAAGCCGTCAAGAAAGCTAATAATCGTGGCGGAAGGCAATTAAACGGGCCCTCGGTATCGATTTAATATCATATCGATCTCAATATCATACAGTTTTGTATCTTTCTTCCGTGGATTCGCCTTTCTAACGAGGGTGTATGTTGAGAATTCATTGCAAAATCGCTTTGTGTTTTTTAATTTCCCTCTTTGACCTGTCCGCCATTTTGAAAATTCGTAACGGAGAGCATGCGCTTTACCTGAGGTTAGTGGTTGCGTACACCTGGAACCGAGAAAAACAAATGTTCGTCGCACTGAGGAAAGAGTTTGATATGGTATTAAATGCAATTTCTGGACAGTTTTAGAGACTTTGGGATTCCTCAAAATTCTAACGCCACCACATGTATGATTTAAATGATTATTTAGTCACCAAGGAGCACCTCGAGTTTCACTCTTAAATGAATAGGTTTTCGAAGTGTGCTACCTTTCAAAGCAAGGTACCAGACAAATCCTAACATATAGATGGCATGGTTGTATATTGCCTCCAGAAGGAGATGGGAGAATCATCGTAATTAGTGCAGTATTTTTCCGTTTAAAAAGATTTCATATGGATCAAATTAAGGTGTCACAGAACTGAATGAAAAATTGATAATTAACTTAGCACGTTTTTGTGAAAAAAAAAAATGTAGAGTGATATTGCACATTTAATAAAACAGTTGATAGCGGTTCCTCTAATTTTTCAACATCAAGAGTGTTGTAATCACCACGCAAAGCTGAAGAATATACTTATTCCAGAAAACAAAGCTGGCTTTGACTGTTATGACAGAGAGTAGTACTTCGAATATAGAGGTCTCTGTGATGAGGAAAATCAACACTCGATCATACCATGGTACACTCGACCTCTTTTTCCGGAAATTCTTCCCAACCATGGAGTACCTGATGGAAAATTAAGCGACAAGCAATATTTCATCTGTGATCCAAACTCTAGAAAAGTTTCCGTTGCACTGGATAGATTAAAGCCTTGGACAGATTCTGACATTAGAAACAGAAACAAAGACGTTCGCAGGCACTTCTTAAGAATTCTGAAACAAAGCCAACCCGCCGGAGAAGAAAAAGTGAACAAAATTCATAGGAAGTGGCACTGAGGTTTGCGCGATGGAGCAATCCTTGAGAAGAGACGTGACTGCAAGAGAAATACTTTACTTACTTTCTATTCAGCTGTGCAGTCGGCGGAAATAGGACTGGTAGAAAATCAGCCGAACACATCCATAAAAAGAAAAGAGAAAAAGAACCAAGAAAAGGAGCCTAAACAGAAGGAAGTAGGGAAGAAATGTTACGAACAGACTTGAGAGAAATGGAACAAGGATAAGCAGTCAAACGGAAATAGAATCGACAGTAACTACGTTACTCCGACAGCTCGAGGAAAGGGACCGGCGTGTGACTACTCTTCATAAGCAACTGAGGGAGACGAATCAACACTGTTCAGAAAGAGAGGAACGATTAGAAACTTTACAAACAGACTTGAATAAGAGGTGAATCATAAGTTATAAAAAAAAATTATGGAGAAGGAGGCAGGAGAAAATGAGTTGCATCAACAGCTCGAAGAAAGGGACCAGCAAATAGCAAACCTTTAGATACAACTGCGGAAGCTGGAGCGGCAGCTGGGAGAGAAAGACAATCGAGAAGAACTTTTACAAAGAGATCTGAAAGAGATGGAGCAACAGTTGCAAAACGAAATGACGCACAAAGAGTCGAAAGAAAGGTACCTGCATAAACAGCTGCGAGGAAGAGATCAGCAAATAGAGGACATTCAAGAAAAACTGCAGGAGACGGGACAACAGTTGCATTAAAAAAAGGAAGAAGAACGAGAGGAAATTTTCCAGATGCAGCTTAAACAGATGGAACGACGACTGAAAGAGGAAGAAACTGCGTTTGAAATACGGCTCAAAGATAAAGACCAACAAATAGAGAACTTGTAGAAACAGTTGACAGAGAAAGAAGAACGAAAGCAAAGGTGGAGAGAAAAAATAGAGGAAACTGAAACGAGAGAAGCATGGTTTCGTGAACAGCTTATTGAAAGAACCCAGCAAGTATTAAACTTTCAAAGAAAGTTGAGTAGAAAGGAGCTGGAGTGCACAGAGAAAGAAGAACGAGAAGAAAATTTACGAACGCATCTTGAGGAGTTGCAGCAGCAGTTACGGGAAAAAGAAAATTTACAGAGATAGGTGTGTTCAATGTTCAATGTTCAATGACAATTTGCAGAGAGATAAGTAGAAGTGCTGATTTAAAGCAACAAATTGCGATTCTTGAGGATAAATTGGAGTCACAGCTCCAAGACCGAAATATTTGTTATTGCTCTGGATGTGGCTCAAGCTTTAAACTAAAGTTACCAAAAGTAGTTTACCATGCCAAGAGTAAATTCTATTCAAATACAGAGTAGAAGTTATTTAAGACATTGCATATTGGGGAAGATGCTGTTCCAAGGGTCAGATCTGCTGTTAACTCCTCATTTAACCTTGTAGTTGTATTGTCGCAAATTGTATTTTGGTGAAACACCTTGGAAGATGCATTTCAGTTCAATCCCCAGCGAAATAACCCCCAGCATTTTGTCGCTCATTCAAACGAGACTCTGTTGCATTTGGAATGCTGTAATAATAGCGGACTGTGTATTGAGGGTAGCCCTAGAAAAAATAATCTGCGATCACACGCCCCTTCTATCTGTCTAAGACTAACATGACTACAATCTTGAGGTAAGAGGCTCTCAATGGGGTCAACTATTAGCCGTAAAACGGCATAAATTTTTTAAGCCTCTACACGTAAACTTGACAAAATTTAATGGTTAGACGTAAAAACAGTGAACTTAAAAAATTTTCCTCGTAACCTCAAACGGAAAAAAATGAATTGTTAGCCGTAAAATGTCCATAATTTTAACCGTTCACGGTGAAAGCCAACACCCCTATAAGAGCCTCAGTGAAGAGCCGTGAACTTTTTTTAGAACCGCTTCAAATAACTTTGTTCGTAAATACATTCGCTCCCACAAGATGTCGTACATTGATCCAAAAAACAAAACAAAACGAAAGGGAAATCATCTTCCTATGCGCATTCAGAACTCTCCACCCAACGGTCACCGCAAATACACTTCCTTCCCCTTGGGACAAAAAGTATTGCGTGACAAGAGCTTACGTTGGGTTAATAGACTACTAAAATTCCGAATGCCTGAACCTGGCGATATAATTCAAAGTATATTTTGCGTAGAAAATACTTCGCCTTGCAAAGTAATGTAGATTTATTTGTGACAATTGGCAGTTTTATCTCCCATTCTCTCCGTTGAATAATGAGTGACTTTTTTTAGAAAGTCTAGAATGAACAGGTAGCGGCCAGCCGTCACAAATGACTTCACATTCACCCAACAGATTACCTTGGTACTTTGCTGCGTTTCATTTTGAAGGTAGGGTGTTTTAGTCATGCATTGAATGTTTTCAAACTAAATGGTTTTCAGCTGCGAAAGTAACACACCGAACTGTTCAAATGAATAGCTGAACTTAAATGACTACCCTACATCGAAAGCAGCTTGGAATAGCTTGGAAGAACACAAAGGGTTTATATTTCCGCCATTGGATCGTTTTGGATGGCTTAACCTTACTCTTTTTGTTGTGGTAGCAACTCCACATGTCAAGCAAATATACTGGAAAGCCTTCGAGTTCCACTCAGTGACTGCATGAGGTGATTTGAATGTAATATCCGTTGATATAACATTTGGCAGTCAAATTCAAACAATTTATTCGGCTGGCGTGTGAAGGAACTAAATGAGTGCAAGACTCTGTTTGCTTAGCGAGTTTATTATGATATAATATGACGCTTACATGTTGCGCATTACAACCTCACCTCTCAATAAACGATGATCATTGTAATGTTTGCCTGGATAGCACAATACTGGGGATCTGAGAGTACATGGTGGTTCAATAAGTTATCTATGTTATGCATTACAATAAAAATACTAAGAACTAAAGCTATATGATAAGGAAAGATTCCTTTAGTATAGAGATCAGAAAATTCTTCTAAAAGGAAAATCAGTCTTAAAATAATTGAGAAGGAAACCGTTATTTCACCTGTTTCTTGAAATTTGACGAGGCAGCTAAGCTTCTACCATATGTTTAAGTCTTATAATGATCTGGTAGCACACACAACAAAAATAAAAGGCCTAGTCCATTTCATGGGAAAGTAGAAGTAAAAATATCTCTTCCAGGTTGATGCCCTTAGTTTTTTAGCCATGCTTTGACTAAACATTTAGTACAAGAAATAGTACCATGGCTATCATTGATACTATGATAGTGGAAACTGGAAACAAGTCCTTGGAAATCCAAAGGGGAAACCTTAGACATGGTTGGGTATCTCACTTGTTGACTTGGTGGAAGGGATGAGTCCAGGAAGGTAAAACTGTTGCTTGAGGGATGGGGATTTAATATTACTGATTGAATAAAACTGAAACTCAAATATAGGACCTTGTAAGACTTCATGTATAGCCATTTTGTGTAAAATCATAATTGTTTAATTCCCATGTAAGTTTTGCTTTTGGGCAGTCTTAAGTCTAAAGGCCATGATGGATTCATGGTTAGGTGTAAAGCAATTTGCCCACAAATCAGAGGCTAATTTACTTTGTGCTTAATGGCATTAATTCTAAGTGTTCTTATTTTTTGTGCATTAGAATACAATTAGAATTTTCATATTGATGCTTCTGGTAGTAAATTTGGATTTTTTTTTTCTTCTTTTCTTGTTATTAAGAAAATGGGAACCAGTGGAGAAGGAACCAAATTTCAGTGCAAGGTCTGACCAATATTCTTCAGTTGCAATTTTTACTGATTTTGCAAATTTATGAGTCAAATTCCTACTTTTCCTTCAGTTAAATTTTTAAAATTGTTTTAACACTGTTTTGCTTACTTTTAATTCAAAGCTTGTAGGGATAACAGATGTTGCTAGCCCAGAGGGTGGGGAGATGTGTGCTGAGGCTTTAAGGAAATTAAAGGTGGAGTGTACCTGTTCATGAGTCATGTTAATTCATGAAACTTGAATCAAAGCTCAAATTTATTTTTTGCCATAATGGCAATTATTAGTTATGCTATATTTCTAAAACATGACAATTATAGGCTGTGTTATTCCTTGAACATGCCACCATAAAACTGCCTGAATTGCATTATTATAACCTACCTGTAAGTACTAAAAACTTCTCAGTGTACTTACCACAGGCAAGTCTGCCAATATGACAAATTGATACTGCCTATAGTTGATCATGAAATCTTGTCATAAACTGCCATTCATTCAGCCCAATTTGGTACCTGGCCCCTTCTCTATTGCCTTATCTCAATGCACAGAAATATCTTTTTGCTTATCCTTCCTTCTGGTAACATAATAATCATTTCAGTCCTGGACTGATAGCTAGTAATAATGTGTGTCTGTTTTATTATTATTATTATTATTATTATTATTATTATTATTATTATTATTATTATTATTATTATTATTATTATTATTATTATTATTATTGTTATTTATACTAGGCTCAGTCAAAGAAAAAGGGGCAGCACAAAGAGAAGGTGACACTGGCTATTACTTTGGAAGGTATCAGGATAGAAGATGAGACTACTCAAGTAAGTGTGCAAATAAGTCAAATATTATTTAACCACCATGTGATTGCCATAGACACAGTGACATTTAAGCTGCACCTATGAGTGTGCAACTCAAATTCTGGAAATTCCTAGGAATTCTCAAAAATTCCCAATTATGAAAATGACCCTTGCAAAATGAATTCCCAGTTTTCTGGGAATTCCTAGGGATTCCTAGGAATTCTCAAAAATTCCCAACTATGCAAATTAACTCTGATTTAAAAAGCTTGGAATTACTGGGAATTTCTGGGAAAGAAGACTCCAGTTTTGTGAGGACTTGGAATCCCTAGGAATTTCTAGGAATTCTCAGCTTTACAAACTACCTATAATTTAAGAAGTGTGGAACTCTTGGGAATTTCTGGGAATTGAATTTGAGGCAATTTTAATACCCTGAGGTCCACATAAATTCTAAGAAATTCTCAATACCTTGAATGTGAAGGTTTTAAGAAAAGGAGTAATTTCAGAGGCTCAAAACTTTGGCTCAATAAAAGGTATGCTATACAAAACTTACCAAGAGATATACATACATGTATATGTTTATAACTTAAAGATCATGAAATTTATTATTCAAACAAAGTTTTAGTAAATCTTTACATTAATATGGATTTTCTCATGAACCAGTTGTCAGTTATGTTAAATGGAAATTTCCAATTAATCCAATGTACTCATATGACAGATTTGCTCTCTAACCTCAAAGGACTCTTGGATTCCATGATCAAAAAATATTTTTATTGTGATGCAAATTAATGTCTCATGTTCACTGATGTGCCAAAATCATCAAACATTCATTAGCTGTTCCTTGGTACACAACTTCCACAATTATTAACAATAATTACAATGTTATCTACACTTAAAGAACTTTGTTAGTTATGAACATAAGTTACTTCCCTAACCTACATTACTGGTTGCCTTTGTTAGAAAACCTTGGAACGGTCAAGCTCAGTTGCCTCAAACACTGTCAGAGACTTTTTGTTGACAATATTCTTAATAGAAATTTCATGGCTTAGACAAACAAATTCAACACTTAATTAATCTTTCTTTTTTCATGATTGTTGTTTCTGGTTTTTTTTCAGTTTTTTGCTCTGTTTTTGTGACTAATTGCTGTAATTTGTTTTGTTGTTTTTATTCTTACAAAACATTTTTTTAAGAGTTCCAATACTTGTGGATCATCCACACACTTTGCAAACATTTGCCATGCAGACAAGACAGAGGTAGTCAATGTTCCCTTTGAGAAAAAACACCTTTTAAATGACGTCTTCAATTTACTTTATTTGAAACTCTGATCTGAAAATATTTGTCAACAAGACTTGTTAGTTGTGAGAAGTACCAACCAAGTTTCCTTTCATAACTTAATTTCTTAAATGTCCCAATCACTGGATCTCCCAAAATATATTACATCTTTTTATTTTTGGTGCAAAATACAAGTCCTTCTTTATATAAAAATGAAAAGTGCAAGTCACACTTCAATAATAACAGCTCTAAAGTTTACTTGTTGTTCTTCTCTGTCTGTCAGCTATCAACAAAATTGTTTTATACTTCGGACAGTGCATAACTATTTGTGGACCAGAGTTCCAACGCACCTCTGTAATCGCATATAGTTACTTCTGTCTCTTGTACAAATGTTTCTCCTTTGTAAGACGCACTCTACTCTGTTGTCACTACTGCTTTAAGTTCAGTGGAAACGACTGACTGAGGAATCAAGATGGCGATGTTGGAACGTGTTGCTGAACGCTTGCTACGGTCAAGCTTTGTAGATGTAGGTACTGGTACACTGGGATCATCTATGTATCTCTTATACTTCCTAATGTGGTGTCCTTCTTTTATAAATATGAGGATAAAAGACGATTTGTAGTCGCATTCAAAACTGTGATTGGCTTGTGTTATTTCTCACCTTTGCCATGAACACAACTCAAGTGAGTTTCGAGTCTTTTTTTCCTCGACAACTTTCGGCCACAAATCGTGCATTTGTAATACGATCGATTCTTGTCGATTATTTCTACATAGAGTGAGCTCACATCATTATTTATATCACCAAGGTATCCATCATCTAGAAGCAGAGAACCAGTCGGAGAAGTCAGAATAAAGTTATGCGCTTCTCTTAACACTGCAATCGGCAAGCCAGCGGATTCACTTTGCTAGCCAATGACAAGTCCTAAAAGATCCACGTGATCATGCCTGTGATCGGAAACAAAGAAGACTCCATTTGGCGCTCATCTTTGAATGTACTTTTCATCGGTTGATCGTTTTTCTCAACTGTTTTGCTTAATATAACATTTCTAAAGATAGCTTTTATTGTGGTTCAATGGGAAAACGAGAACAGCGTGAGTGCTGTAAAAGAAAAGAAAGTCGTTGGCGCCGTGGAGTTAAAAGAAGGGACAACAGTTGACATATTGACTGGTACAAACAAGAGTCGAGTGGCCATCTGTAAAGCTACGATTTTGAAAGTTTGTGGTGAGTAAAAATTGCGATGTTCGTTACGTGATCAAAATCTTATAAAAGAATAGATGTAGCGGGTTGAATTAAGCTTACATAACGCTCGGCGCAACTGAAACTAGAATAATTCTGAGAATCGAATCGGTCACTTGCATGCCGCAGTTTCTTAAGCTTATGTTTAAAATGAAATAAACCTATCAGTAAGGTTTCAAGATTCCTCTAGTCACGTTTGGGAACATTCGAGATTCATAATAGGAACTGTTATTAAACAAACCTTATTACATAAAGAAGCCCTCCTTGGTAAAAACAAAATAATGTATTCAGCCCTTTTTTGGTAAAATCTATGAGAGAGATGTACTAACTCCAATATAAAAGTCACTCAATATAACAGAGATTTCTCAATTTGGGAATCCAATGAATGCCCTTTTCCTCATAGCCATCTTGTAGGCCTGGTCTGAGCTTTAAATATATATAAATAAATTCTTTTTTTTCAAATTCAGATGTCATGGAATCCAGATACAAAATGGTCAAGCTTCTTGTAGACAACCTCATTCAAGGCCAACTCATTGTGAGCCCAGGAAAAAAAATACAAACAGCAGCTAAGTTTGCAGTTTAGGATAACTTCATTCTAATTTATTGTTACAGTTACAACAAGATTTTAAGAGTGCTTGGTTTTCAAATATAATTTAAGATATTGTGTTTTATGGAAAAGAATCAACAGATTTTATTCACAATTTGTGTCAAACCAAATTTAATGATTGATTAGGACTGTTTTATATGAATAGCTGTAATTGAGGATTAATCCATATGAAGTTTTCAAGAAAAGAAAAATAAATCAAGTTTCATCCTAATAGTACCACACATTGATGTTAATAATTAATCAAAAATATTTTACATGTAAGCCTTAACTAAGCTTCTAAATAAATTTCATTGAATACTTGAATTTTAGCTGGGTTTTTTTTTTAATTTAAAGTATTTATTTTATATCATTAGCCTCAAATTTTTGCTTAAAATTCCCAGTAATTCTTAAACATTCCTAAAAATTCCCAGAAATTCCTAGGAATTTTTTAGATTTACAGCTTTTCAGGGAAAGTCATTGGTTCTCTGAGTTGGAATTCCTAGGAATTCCAAGTCCTGTTGGCTATAAACTTGGAATTTCTAGGTTTTTAGAACCAGAGTTGTTATGGTTGGGAATTCCTAGGAATTCCTAGTCCGAATTTACCGTGAAAATTCACACCTTTATTCCTAGGAATTCCAAAAGCCATTTTGCAAGGGTTAACTCTTAAATCTCATCCAAATGTTGCTTTCACTTTTTCCATCTAATTACCAAAGAGAATTTTCAAGGGGCAGTATATAGTTCAAATGTTTTGTTACATTTTACATTATGTTTTCTTTATCAATTATTTACCCATTGACTTATCCATTTACTTATTTATATTTTCATGTATCCACTCAAGTCAAAAATAGCTTGAGAGTACTGAACAATGGAAGGGCTGAACAGCAGAAGGGAAAGATACAATTAAATCTCCAGGTGCCCCTTCCATCTCATTACTTTTTGTTGTGTTTTTATAGGTTTTTCTGATTTATTTATTTGTTTTTAGAAAGTGCAGCATATGCATCCTGTCAAGAGAATATCATTTGTCACTCCGGACCCAGATGATAAGAAAATATTTGGTTATGTTTGCAGTCAGCCTGATTGTTCCACTGGATATACATTCTATGCTCTGAAGTCAGAAAATGTAAGAAATTAAAGAAATTATTTGCTTTGTTAACTGAATTACAGGAAATGCATGGGCTAATTGTAGGAGACATGATGCATGGTCTTGGTTTGAGACATGTCTTTTCACCATGTTTTGTTGTGAATGGGATCTGATGTCTCACTCTCCCAATGCCTCTCTCAGCTGAGGAACATATGGAGGTATTAGAAAACTGCTAAAGAATTAACTTAGTTGTCAAATTGCTGCACTGGGACAACTATTATGGCCCAGGATTCAACTAGGGTAAGGATGCATGCAGTATCCCTGGTTATGTCATACGCTCATGAAAGTGGAATGAGCATCTGGATCAAGCTCCAGCAGCAGGGGCCATGGGCTTGACAGTAGACTTACCTTATAACCAGTAACTAATAGTTGGTTTCAGTTATTCATATGTCATCACCCTTTATATGGAAAAGGTATCCAAGTCTTTTACTGTTCAAAGAGATATGCAGGGGAATGTATTTCATATCTAATTATGACAATACAAATGGAGATACAATTGATCTCCTTTTCCCACATTCTCTTTTCTGTATAAAAATTTAAATTCAATTTTTTAATTTAAATTTAAAAATTTTTTTTTTTTAAATTCAATTTTTTTTAATGGGAATTTCTTAGTCAGCAGAAAAAATTTTCAAATATTGAGCTACCCCAAAATTCCTGTTTCAGTTAATTTATTGTATATGTTTTTGTGCCACTCTGAGAGTAGCATTTCCTGTTGAAAAGAAATCATTGAGGAGAAACATTTTTGTCAGGGAAGTATGCAAATTGTATCTTGTTCAAGAGGAAAATACTTTAAATCTACTTTACAATAGTGCACTTTGATTTGAAGGCTTGCAAGAGTTCTCGGCTGCAAATTTTTAGTTTCAAATTCACTCATGCAAATAAAAATTTTCATAACATTTAATCTTAAATATTGCTCATTAAGCACTTAATTATTCTAAGCATGTGTTATTTTTTCTTTCAGGCAAAGGTCATAATTGATGCCATTATTGAACTTTTTGAGGTATCAGTAACTCTTAGACAAAGGGCTGGATCAGCAAAGGAGCAGGTCACCAGAAATTCATCAAATGGTACTGACTGCAGAACCGTTGATTTTGTTGAATGATTATAACTACTGTAACAAGACTGTTCCACAAAAATAAGTATTTTAAAATAACTCGTATGTACTGGTCCCATATTTCAATTCTTATTTTAAAGTTACCATGCTATATGCTATATTGCCTGATGTTTTAATGGTGTGTTCATGAGAAAGTAAGTTTGTCACTGACTGACAATGACTGATAAGTTGAGGGAATTTTACACTTCCAACGATCTTACTGACCATCACATTCTCTTTTGAAGAATGAGGTGATTCTTAGGCAAGTACCCTACTCGACTTAGCTCGTCCGTATCATAATCATTAGCAGTTTGGAGTCATTTTTTTCCAGTGAAGAAGTCCACTCTCTTCTACTTTTTCAGTTCACTCTCTTTAGCTTGTAACACGAACTAAACGTGCGAGAGATTCCTGTTATCTCACTGTCGTAAGCTGTACCTTTTCGTAGAGGAAAGTACGCGTGATAAACAACACATGTCTCTACTATGTGGAACTTTTTGAAAAATGGTAAAATAGTGAGCAGCAATGCACGAGCTGAAATAGGAATAACTTGCTTCTTCTAGTAATTTGCACTGCTATTACATGAAAAATGCATCCGTTTTCAGCCAATCAGATGCGCTCAATTTTTTCATGTATATCATTATTATTAAGGGTATTAGCTCAATTTGAAGACAACTTCTGTTAGGTTCGGTCATAGTCTTGTATTCAGACCTTTCACGGCCAAGCAGTTGAGTGGTCCCTACATTTTAGTCACAGTTAAACGGTAGGATCTAGGTACGAGGTTAGTTCGGTCAGTCTTTGGAATCTCTAATCGTGGCTAGTAGTAACTGCTTGGTACGTAGGTTAACAAAGATAGAGGTCATTTGCGTGCAGCCGAGGATCTTCTTTCACTGAGCACGAGAATGTCTCAAGTGGGTGAGCTGTAGTGAATTAGGTACATTTCTTGACTCCCGGAAGTAAAAGAAACTCTGTCGTTTTTTTTTTCGCTAGAGAACCGGACCGAGCTACAGGAAATGAGAGCTCGTTTATCCAACTTACAGGCACAGCTCAGGGAAAAAGATGACCAGTTGCGAGAGAAGGAAGGGATTAATGTAAACCTCCAAACTCGCTTGAATACAAAAAATCAACAACTGGAAGAGAAAATTAGACAGGAAGAGAATTTATACCAAAAACTGCGGGCAATGGAAGAGCAGATTTCACAATCTCAAGCACAACTAAGGGAGAGAGAGTCGGAAAAGGCCAACCTGTTAAAGGAAAGAGATCGCCAAAACGGAAACCTGCGTGCAATGCATCAGCTGAAGACCAAAATGCAGGAGCAGCTGGACAGGAAAGAGCAACAATTAGTTGAATCGGAATTGCGATTAAGGGAAATGAATCAGCAACTGAGAGATCTTGAAGTTCAGATCAGAGAGAAAGACAGAGCAACTTTTGCTTTGCAAGAACGTTTAGGAATTACGGTACAACAAGTTGGTGAGCTAGAAGAACAGCTGACAAGAAAAGACCGGGAAAAGAATGAACTAGAAAGAAGCCTTTCAACAGCTCAGCAGATATTACGTGATAATCAGGCTCAAAGATCACCAGACTGGGTTATTCCACGTCATCAAATTCAGCTGACGACCAAATCCCTCGGTAGAGGTGCTTGGGGAGAGGTTGTCCAAGGAAGGTTCTGTGGTTGTGTCGTTGCCGTGAAAACGATACATGATTTGATTCTTTCTCCTCACAACCGCAGGTTGTTTGAACGAGAAATGGACATTGCCTCGAGATGTCGACACCCTTGTTTACTGCAATTCATTGGAGCAACAAACGACGACCACACACCTTTGTTTCTTACAGAGGTCATGGAAACAAGCTTGCGAGCACTTTTACAGGAAAGATTTCTATCTCAGACAGAAATCACCGTTATTGCTCTGGATGTGGCTCGAGGACTAAACTACCTCCACCAAAAACGCCCCATCCCTATTCTTCACCGTGACATCAGCAGTGCAAATGTGTTGCTCTGGAGACAAGGTACTCAATGGCGAGCTTAAGTGTCAGATTATGGCACTGCTAATTTCAAGAAACAGACCATGACGGTTGCACCTGGGGCTCTAATCTACAGTGCACCTGAAGCACGTGCTACAAATCAAACAGTCCAGGTTTGCTCAGATTGATGATCTAACGGCACTTTTTTGACTCGATGAGATTATTCGTGCTTTTTGATTCCAATTTATTTTATGTGTTATACCTTAAGACATCGTAACATTTTGATGGAGAGTAATATAAAAGCCTCCTTTCTCTGTAATTGGGCATTTTCTTCACGGGTAGTTCTCTTCTTTACGATGGCCGCCTTTTTTACCTCAGTTTTGGAACTAAATCTTTCCAAAGTTGAACCACCAGTCGAAAAAATTGCTTTCCTCATATAGAAATGGTGCTCTTATATGTAAATGACAGTTTGCAAAAGTAAGAATTTGAAAAGTAAGACGTGTCTCATGATCACTAATTCATAGTTTGCTCAATAATGGGCAATTGCCCTCGCAAAAAAAAAAAAGCACTGAACAGTGACGATTATTGGCATGAACCTTTTTCACCTCATTAGAAGCTCAAAGACTCTTTAGAGTGAGAGAGGAAACAATATTTGAATGTTGTTTCCTCTCTTACCTTAAAGTGCAGGAAGGGATTTCTTAGGAAAAGGCTAAAATCGAATCATTTCTGTAACTGCATTCGCCGTTAAAAGCGTTGGTTTAATAAGATTCCCATGCCGCAAGAGTTACTTTCTTAATATTCCGCCTATTCAGGGTATTTTCCCACAATAGCCGTAAAAGCATGCACGGTGTTGCATCTCTCTGTGCTGTCATTTATTTCTTCATTTTCTGTGGTCAGGTTGATGTCTACAGTTTTGGTGTACTTCTTTGTGAGATTTCCATCCGTGAATTACCAGACCCTGAAAGACGAGAACAACAAGTAGCAATGGTGGCAAACAATGTGCTTCGAGCTCTTATCAGAGGATGTTTGGAAACAGACCCTCAGGCCAGACCAACTATGGAAGAAATAATTGATGAAATAGAACCGGAAGCGCAGGGCACCTTTTGATAGAGTTTTCTAATCAACTTCAAACATAATGTTGTCTGTATGGTTTGCAGTATTGCTACTGTACCGGACGATCATATAGAAGATCCTGCAAAGAAAACTCCATCTTTCCCGATGTAACTTAAGTGTTCGGATGTATCTTCTGAAAACTTGTAGACTTTTTCTGTCTAGGCGTGTTCAGCTTTCCATTATTCCTTACCTAGGTATTTACACGCTGATCTCGTAAGGATTTAGATAAAAGCGTCCGTTTGATGTGTAAAGAAAGAAGGCACAGTCCGATACCACCAAGAAGGTGTCATCAAGAGTCCATTTTCGGGCACCTGCTTTAATCGATAAAAGCAGGCTTGGCACGGATTGGCACGACTGAGCCCTCTCAGCGTAAATCATCAATCTTATTGTCAGACTTATTTATCGTCTGCAAATGTAATAGCATACCATTATGATTTTTTTGCCTAACGTTTCATTACAAAACTTCCGTCCGTCGATATAAATTTCTATTGCGATATTTATAGTGTGTTGGTTTGGTTAGACTAAATACAGCTATCATTTTTAATTTTTGGTTTTGTCTATCGTGTGGTCTGGTCGTTTTGGTTAGAGCGGTACTTAAAGGATTGCTCTAGGTAACAAGGAATGACCTTTAACAAGCTAAGCGGGAGACTGTCAAAATAACAGTAACGTCCACTGAAAAAGATCCTTTTTAGGACTTCTCTAACCTGTTCCTTCTGCGTTCAGATCATTTACTGTAAAATTACCTCAAGATGTTATGCGACTCAGTGTTTTCCTGAAAAGTGACGGTAACGATACTTCTCACCAAAAATGTTTTTCTTCTGCCTCGTGATTGACCAAATTTTTAGAAGAAAAATTTTTTCCAAAACCGAGTGGTGGTTATTCATCAGAATCCACAATAAGTAAGACCCTGATCTAAGCGTTCAAAGTAACAAATCAGTGAAGACATGATCCTTGCAAGCGAGCATCAGTAAAGAAATTCAAGAAAAGAACTTTGCAAAATTCTGACTTCGAGAGGATTTGAACCCGAGCACTTCCGGGCACTATAACCAATTGAGCTGCGGAGCCTCAGGCTGGAATTATTGCAAATTCTTCTGGGATTGTTGTTCCCGTAGAGGATTATGTATTAAATGAAATAAGTAATATTTTTATCCGAGGATGAAGTACAAAATGAAGAACTAATTTTTGCAGGTGAGCTGCAGCTAAAGAAATTGCAAAGTAGAAACTCTTCTCCTCGTCCTATATACAAAATTTCTGTGGGACGAAAGAATTTCAGAGCTTTCTTATTTGCTCATAACTTTTAATTTGGCCATATCTTATTTCCTTCAGTTCTATAAGCGCTTATGTTATCAATTTTGATCCTCATCTGTAACATATCGTCCATATTTTTGTCAATAGTTGTTGTTGTATGGCGAAAGCGATATGTTTAGTTGTTTGCCTTTAGATCTTTGTAAGATATTCTAAATTCTCTGCGATCGCATCAAAGAAATTACTTTCCATTTTCCTTTAAAATTAATTAATTTATCGTTGGCGCTTTCCTTCCGTAATAAGACGGCATATGCTACGGGTGACGCACGGGAACTTTTGTTTCGTACTCTAGCTCGGCAACTGCTGCTTTGTTTCCTCAATGTACAAGACGTCGCAGTCCCAGGAGCTAACTGTGTACCGAGGAGTAGTTAAACTTGTTCTTGTGAGGGAAACAAAATTTAATAGAATAGCAACTCAAAACCAAAGACCTCAGTCTTCAGCAAAAGGTATCAGGCTCGTACCAAAGTGATCTCACATGATAACCACCTGCTAAGAAGCGAAGAAATCCTAGTTTAAAACAGTAAAGTTCACAAGGCAACCAGGTGGACAATCAGACATGGTTTGATGTTACTCTGGTTTGCAGATTTAATGAATGTAACTGAAGAAGTTACAATTCATAGACCCAACGTTTCGACACTCCTGTCTAGTGCCTTCATCAGGGGTGATCTAAACGCTGCAACAAGAGGTCCTTTTATATGATCACTAATTAGCGGCCTTTTTTTCTGACGAGGTGTAAATAGGCGTCAGGAAGCAGACCGCCATCGTCACGATTTAAAGGAGCGTGGGCGGAGTTAATATGCCAAGCCTCCAAACAAAGGCGCTGGTGGTAACGCCGATTAGTGGTGATAATTTTAGAATTATCCCACCCAATTGTATGGTTGGTTAGGCATGTATGCTCCGATAAAGCTGAATTTTCCTTTTTGCTAAGAAAAACCGCTTTTTGGTGCTCTTTTAACCGTGTACCAAACTGACGTTTGGTCTGTCCGATGTATTCGTTGTCACAGTCATTGCAAGGAATAGAATAAATAGCGTCGATTCGTTGTTCTTTCGTGACAGGATCCTTAGGTTTGGCGAAAATATGCCCCAAAGTCTGAAAAGGTTTTTGAGCAACTTTAACGTTGTGGCTATTCAAAATTCTCTTGATGGGTTCCGTAACACCCTGTATGTAAGGAATAACAGCAAAACCAGTCGCTTGTTCCCCTTCATCAAGAGCGTTACTATTTGTAACTGGTTTTTGGCAGTTACGGAGAAAAGTTTTTGTATAGCCATTTGCCTTTAGGACATTGGAAACATATTTCCTCTCCTCAGCCTTCGAATTGAGTAAAGATGGTAGACAGTCAGCCCTCCTAAGTAAAATTTTGGCTACAGACTTTTTATGGCAGATAGGGTGGTGAGAATCGAAAGCGAGGTATTTGTCGGTGTGGGTAGGTTTACGGTAGACACTTGTCTCTAAATTACCCTGAACCCCTCTGGACACATTTAAATCAAGAAAGGGCAAATCTCTATCCTTTTCGCACTCAAGGGTGAATTGGATCGACGGCTCTACTGAATTCAAATGCGAATTCGTAAACCTAAACCTTTCGCGTCCTTCATATTGCGAAACAACCAACAAATTTTGCGCTCTTTCCAATGCTCGCAGTGCTCGTAATTTTGATTTTCCATGGTAGTAGGGGCGGCCGTTTTTGGACTATCAATGACTGTAAACTTATTTGACCATAACTAGGGGTAATGTCGCGATCTGATTGGCCAATTTGCCGTTGTCGATGAGAGTAAAGATAACGCCGCTCGGGTCAACTTGTCACGCACTAAGAGAATCGTTTTATTTGACGTCGATATTGTGGCCACTGAGATGACGATTACCGTTGATGATAAGAGAACAGACCACGTGAAACCACTGCCGAGTTGTTTAAATATTGAAAAAGAAGATTTCTCTCGCCTGCTCCAAATCACTTTCTTCCCAGAATACTTTTACAGTGAGACATATTTCACGGTACTAAGACCTGTAGTGAATGACATTGTTGTAGAGGGATCTACAGGCCTGTCAACTGAAAGGACAATTTCGTCCCTTAGTGTTCAAAAGAACTTTGAAAAATGAAATGAAAACGAAAAAACAAACAAACCAAGAAGGAACATATGGGTACATTTACGGCTCATCCAAAAAACTTCAGAGCACTTCATAGTTAAAATTAACTCGATAGAGTATGAAATAACTGTTGCTTATTATGCAATTACAGCTGGCGTTATTCCTCCACCGACGTTTTCTTCTCATCAAGAAAAAAGATGGAGCATTTCTTACCTTTCTACATATAAGTCTACATTAACTCTGAGAATTTCTATGATTCAGCTCTCTGATTTGTGGTAAAACTGGTGATTAATACCTATAAATCACAAGAGGAGCGTGTTCGTTCCTTGGAGGCCGATGATGAAGAATGAAACAGGTCTGTGACTTTTGCTATTTTCAAAGTTTCTAAATTTAGCAATTTTAGGAACAGACTTCTTGAAATAGACTTTCCTTTTAAAAATAGCATTATCTGCACCGCCATCTCTCACATTTTTTTTCAGCATTCTTTTGCCTAAGATAGTGCTTAATTTTTCTGTATCGATCGAAAGTATTCATTTTCATTTGCTTTCTGTTTCTCTTTGAGCGACTGATCAGTTCGTGATCAGTTCTTGGCAAACTTTGAAATATTTTGCTGTTGTTCCATAATGCAACTAAATTGAGTTTTTATCTTTTCATTTTGTGTAAATACGTAAGCGTTTCAGCTCCACTCTAAATAATATCAGGTAGGCTTGATGGTGAGTCTTCCCAAGCAATTTTAAGAGTGTCGGTGTCTGGTAAATAAAGGAACTAACCCGGCTTCTAAAATTTACTTCTCATGGTTCGATTGAGGAATGATGTGGGTAGAAGTCCTAACATTCTTCTTGAGTTTCTTTCAGTTAAAACCTATGAAAACCGACATGACAATTTTGAACAAGAGTAGCTTTCGTTAGATTACCTGCAGAAACATTTCGGAACCTTTTAAAATTTTGAAATTTTTCAAATTTCCCCGTCCACTCATCCGCCGACTTCGTTAGCACTACCCGTAAACGAGCCCACAGTGCAGTGTGATGATCCCAGAGTGCAATACGCTCGTGTTATCTGCGAAACGTCATGCGTACAGAAGAACTTGATCTGCACCCCATAACATAAATAAACATGGTATGCATCGTCTAATTTGCCAATTCAGTTTCCAAGCGGATGCTTCATCAGGTTATAGAGCCCGGAAAAAATTATTCTATTGCTTAAATATGTAAATTTTTTAACTTGATCGGCTGAAGCATAAAAACTGTCTTTTTCTACGCAGCTTTTTCTACGCAGCTTTTTCTACGCAGCTTAGAAAACCATCTAAGAGCTAACACACGGTAGCACTTCACTCTATTTGCTTTGGAAGACCTTTATAAAGCAAAGGAATTGGTAAGTCACCACTCCTAGTTGGTACTATAGTAATTGAGGACTGATCATGATATTTTTCATTGTTTAAAGAGCATCAATGGATTATCTGATTCAGTTGTAACTTGACGGTCAGTCGTAAGCCAAAAAACCCGGAAGTACTTTTTTAATAGTCTGTCTTTGAAAAGAGTAAATTACAACACAATTTACGCTTTTTTATTCAGCTTAATCCTTTCTGTTAACTTAAAGAATAGTAAAGTTTTACACATAGTCAAAAATTTAAATAAGTAACCTTGTGGTCATCACCAAGCCAATGGATTTGAAAGGCTTCTGGTAATACTGAATTCGGACAATGGGTGATCTGTCGCTGGGTTTCAATGTTTCAATGTTGTGTGTGGAGACAAGAAAAGCATGATAATCGAGTTTTGTTTCACTTTGACTTGAGTCTTTGATCTTTGCAATTCTTGCATAAACTGAAATCCTTGAGGGGAAAGCCAAAATGGTTTTCTGATGATTGATGAAGAAGTCACACTGGTTATGTTTTTTGACATACCTTATTACATAGAGAACTTATGGAAAATCACTGTCCTCTACAAAAGTGTTGTAAAGAAGCTAACTAACATGGGTATCAATATGGTATAGGCATAAGTAAAGTTATAGTTCTAAGCTAGTACATGAGTGGTCAATTTGTAAACCACTTGGAACAGTTGTTCTCCAACACATAGAGTCATAAGTACATTCTTATGGTGATATGATCCTGCAACTCTGATAATAGGGCTGCAGTTCTATTCTTTTGTCACCTTTTTGCTGGTTGATTCCTAAGTAAAAGTTGAAAATTACTAGGTGTGCTTTGTTGCTGGCACAAAGTTTAAAGTCTTCCTCCTTTGTGTTGTCCATTGATGTCGTTTAAAAACCTAGATTTCCTCTTTTTTCAGCCATTACTAAGATTAAGGAAATGGCAACACCTCTGTCTTTGAGGAAACTCAGTAAACCAGACTTCACATTCAGTTGCCAGGTTTGATCCTTATAATTTTAATTATCCTTTAAATTATCACTATTAAACCTATTGTTATTGTTATTATTGTTATTGTTCTTGATATTATTATATCTCTCCTCATGAATCAAATAACTGCTCTATAACATGGATTTAAAGATTTATTTATATAACAGATTTATTATCTGTTATATAACTAGATGTTTAGTAAACTGTGGTTGACTTCTGACAATGTAAAGTACTTTGTGTAGGTATAATCACATGATGGAGTGTAGTACAAATATACACAAGGAATTTTCTAAAATTTACCAGTTCTCATAAATTTATTCCAAATAACACAGGAAAACTCATAACAAAACTTATAAAAGTAACACAGAGGCAGAGCTCTCAAATCATGTGCAAGGCTCAAAATAATTTCCAGCTACTGCTGGTCAAGTTGTTCAGTCAAACCTAGTATTGCTCAGACCAAGTTTTGGCCAGATAAATGTCTACTGTGTCATACCTCAGTAAATCCCTGCCCCCAGTATATTTTTCTGGCATTTTCCCTCCTCCGCTATTGTTGTGCTGTTTACTATTTGTTCCACTTTACTGATGTTCTGGTCAAGAAATATCTGCCTCTCCTTACATCTAGGCAGTTCAGAAAGCCACAAAACTTTAGAAAAAAGTTTGTCAATGAGTGCTTTGCATCCAGCTAGTTTATTCTTGGTTTTCTCATTACCATGTTTCCACTGATGATATAGCTCCATTTTCTGCATATAAACACACACACACACACAACTCACAATTCCTCTATTCACGCTGATGAAGTGCTAATGCTCCAAATATCAGCTTTGAAACTCTTAACAGTGGCCAATTTATGTTATCAATTCAGTTGATAATACCAAACTACCTTGTTATACTCCCACTGATGCAGCATCACAGTTTCTTGAGAAACTTACCCCCTACCACACTATCAGAATCCACAATAAGTAAGACCCTGATCTCGACGTTCAAAGTAACAAATCAGTGAAGACATGATCCTTGCAGGTGAGCATCAGTAACGAAATTACAGAAAAGAAATGTGCAAAATTCAGCCTTCGACAGGATTCTAACCCGTACCTTTCCGGACGTTATAACCAATTGAGCTGCGGAACCTCAGGTTGGAATTGTTTCAAATTCTGATAGGATTGTTGTTCCCGTAGAGAATTATGAGTAAATGAAATAAGTAATATTTTGATCCCAGGATGAAATACAAAGTAAAGAAAGGATCTTTGCAGGTGACCTGCAGCTAAATAAATTGCAAAATAGAAGCTCTTCCCCTCGTCCTATCTACAAAACTTCTGAGTTCTTCCCCTAAAAATCTGCAGAACTTAGCTTTTCAGAGCTTTCTTATCTGCTCACAACTCTAAACTTGGCCTTATCTTCTTTCATTCAGTTCTATGAACACTTTTGATGTTTATTTTGATCCTCCTCTGTGAAAGATCGTTCAGCAATATGTTTAGTTGTTTGCCTTTAGATCCTTGTAAAATATTCTAGATTCTCTGCGATCACAACAAAGAAATTAATTTTCAGCTTCCTTTCAGACTTATTAATTTATCATTGGCACTTTCCTTCCGTCAAAGAACGTTATATGCAATGGGTGACGCACAGGAACTTTTAGTTAGTGCCTTGAAAAGTCCAGCAGCGCTCTAGCTCGGCAACTGTTGCTATGTTTCCTTAACGCACGAGACGTCACAGTCCCCGGAGCTAACTGTGTACCCAAGAGTAGTTGAGGTTCTTGTGAGGAAGCAAAACTTAATAAGATATCAGCTCTGCAAGTTAACCTTGAGATCAAATCAGACGTAAAACTAAAGACCTCAACAAAAGCTATTAGGCTTGTACCAAAGTGATCTAACATGATAACCACCCACTAAGAAGCGAAGAAATTTTAGTTTGTAATGATAAGCCTGGCACAACAACTATTATGTACAACTGATCTAAAACATGTTTTTCGCAATTAAGTTAAAGTATCAAACAGAATCAGTTCATTTTCGAAACTTAAACTTAAAATTTAAATTACTGCGCGTGTTAAGTAAGTGTCCAAACATAGAGGTTAATGCTTCCTTTCTCTGAGTTTCGCGTCCTTCATATCGCGAAGCCACCAACAAATTTTGCGCTTTTTCCAGTGCTAGTAGTGCTCGTAAGTATGATTTTGCTCGGTAGTGGGGGCGGCCGTTTTGGGAATATCGATAACTGTAGACTTATTTCACCACTATCAAAAATTACGCGAACTGATTGGCCAATTTGCCGTTGTGAATGAAAGTAAAGACAACGTTGCTCGCGTTAACTTGTCACGCAATGGTCACGCACTGAAAGAATCGTTTTATTTGACGTCGCTATTGTGGCTACTGTGATGACGATTACCGTTGTCAATAAGAGAACAGACCATGCTAAACCACTTCCGAGTTGTTAAAATATTGAGAGAGAAGATTTCATTCATCTCCTTCGAATCACTTACTTTCCAGAATACTTTTACAGTGAGACAGTTTTCATAGTAATAATTGTTTTTAGAGGATTGTAGAACATCTCTTTTTGATATGAAAACTTAATGAATCCTGAAAAAAGTCAAGTTGTTCCGATATGATTGTCCAAAGGTCAACTCATGGTGAAGTTAATGGTTGACGAGATTAACGCTTCGACAGTGATTGAAAAGGGCCCTTTACCGAGACACCAGAAAAGAGGGAAGATTTGGCCTTCGTAGGTACTATAGTCGTTTTTTGCTGATATAAAATTGTAAATCATATCCTGGATTTTCAATACACACGTTTAACAAGAGCTAACAAATTTGAATTCGGGTTTTTCTCCGAGCGTTCATGATTTTCAAATTATGAGCGCTTTGCAAGAAGGCAGGCACCCACCTGCTCTCCCTCCAGCCCTTAAGTCTATGACTGTGAATGGATTTCCACACACGTTAAAGCAAACAGGCATCCCTAATTTACACAACTACTAACACTGGTGAGTGTCAAGTGAAAAATTCAATTCGTTACAGCGCTGGCAGATTTAGTCCGAACAGCTGGAACTTTACTGAGAAAGGTTATGTCGTAAAGGATCGCGGTCTGCGCCTGGGGCGTCTCCAGGATTTTTTAAAGGGGGGGGGGGGGTCACGCTGTCTGAAACAGAGGGTACTCACCAGAATGACATGTCTACCTCCAAGCCGCGTTTTACTCGATGTGATGACAAAAAAAAAAAACCCTAAAGGGAACCGCGGCATGACAATTTTGAACTAGGAATAACTCTTGTTAGATTACCGACAGAAATACTTCGGGACCTTTCATTTTTCAAATTTTCCCAACCTCTTATCCGCCTACTTGGTTAGCACTACTCGTAAACGAGCCCACAGTGCAGTGGTGTCTATTAAACGTCATGCGCACTGAAGAACTTGATCTGCCGTGTTCTTATCGTAGTGTAACATACGTGAACACAGTGCGCATCGTCTAATTTGTTAATTCAGTTTCCAAGTGAAAGTGTTGTCAGGTTACAGAGCCCGGAAAAATGTGTTTTGTTGCTTAAATATTTAAATTTTTGAACTTGATCGGCTGAAGTATAAAATACTGTTTTTTTTTTCTACGCAACTTAGAAACTTATCCAAGAGCTAACAGAGGGTAGCAATTCACTCTATTTGCTTTGGAAGACCTTTATTAAGCAAAGGAATCTGTAAGTCACCACTCCTAGTTGGTACTATTAGAACTGAGGACTGATCATGATATTTTTCATTGTTTGAAGAGCATCAATGGCTTATCTGATTCAGTTGTAACTCGACATTCTATAACGACAATTTCTTTAATTATGGCCATCGGAGCCAAAAACCTGGAAGTACCGTAATTTCCGGTCGATTACCCGCGGGTAATCTGTTGATTTTGCATTAAATCCGCGCCACTGCGGGTAATAGGGAGGTGCGGGTTATGTGACAATTTTAAATTCTTCTGGAAGTTGAATTGAAAAAATTTCTCACCTACCTGCGTTTCCACCTCTCAAATGAATTTTATTGTATCAAAAGTGCCACAAAGCGGCACGAAAACATGATGCCAACTCGAGTTTATTTCACGCATAATTAGTTGCGTGACAAACAAATTTTTATCGGCACGCGTGAAAACAAAACCTTGATGGTGACAAAAATAATCCAAGGATATCCGGCGCATCAGTAACAAATTTCCAGTTTTCACTAGCTTGAGCTAAAGAGAATTTTCCCGTTTTAAGGGACTTGTTAGGCCCAGTAGAACAGGAGATATCGATTTTTTTGAGAAATTGCCGACAGTAATTTTAAATCCCAAATGCATCACCAGAATGTTGAAAATAATAGGTGCGAAACTTAACTAATTTCGCGCTGAAAAAGTATTTTAACGACAAATGAACAATGGATATTGCTCATTACGCTCCTACATGCTATAAAAAGGTAACTGACTGAATAAGAATTATAAACCTCGATCATTCGCGATAAGTGTATCTACGAGTCACCAATTAAGTTAAAATGCCTGCTGTGAAACGCCCACGTCACAGTTTTACGTTTGATTATAAGCTTAGAGTAATAACTCTTGCCGATGAAATCGGTAATAAAGCAGCAGCAATAATCATTCAATAAAGTATAAGCTAATATTGACACAGAATTGTGCACATGTCTGAATCGAAAGACTGAAATGTATCGCCTTAATGTCACGTTTTCGCCACCGAAAAAGTTGAATAACAACGTGCGGGTTATCCACCGGTGCGGGTAATCCGTTGACTTTTTTTTTCGCCGTATGCAATAATCGGCCGGTGCGGGTAATCGGCCGTGCGGGTAATCGACCGGAAATTACGGTACTTTCACTAATAGTCTGTCTATGATAAGAGTAAATTACAACACAATTTACGCTTTGTTATTCAGCTTAATTCTTTCTGTTAGCTTAAAGAAAAAAAAAAAGTTTTATACTGTGAAAAATTTAAATAAGAAACCCAATAATCATTGCCATCCATTGGATTTGAAAGACAGTTCTCCAACACAGAGTCATAAGCACCTTCTTAAGGTGATATGACCTAGCAACTCTGATAATAGGACTGCAGTCCTATTCTTTTGTCACCTTTTTGCTGATTGATTCCAAGATAAAATTTTAAAATTACTACGTATGCTTTGTTGCCGGCACAAAGTTTAAATGTTCCTCCTTTGTGTTGTTCATTTATGTTACTTTTAAAAACCTGGATTTCCTCTTTTTTCAGCCATTACTAAGATTAAGGAAGTGGCCATGCTTATGTTTAACGAGCTATTCAGTAAACCAGACCACACTTTCAGATGCCAGGTTTGATCTGTATAATTTTAATTATCCTTTTTATTATCACCATTAAACCTATTATTATCATTATTATTGTTATTTTCTTGATATCATTATATATCTCCTCATGAATTAAATAACTGCTCTATAACATGGATTGAAAGCATTTGGTTTATTATCTGCTATATAAGTCTATGGTGAGTAAACTGTGGATGACTTCCAATAAAGTAAAGTACTTTGTGCAGGTATAATCACATGATTCGAATTGGAGTGTAGTATAAATATACACATTGAACATTGAATTTTCTAAAATTTACCAGTTCTCAAAAATTTATTCCAAATAGCACAGGAAAAAAATCATGTGATTACTTACCAATAATGTAAATTAAAAATTGCTGAGTTACCCCATAAAAGTAGCACAGAGGCAAAGCTCTCAAATCATATGTAAAGCTCAAAATAATTTCCAGCTGGTGCTGGTCAAGTTGTTCAGTCAAACCAATTGTTTGCTGGGACACCAATGTTTGGCCAGATAAATGTCCATTGTATCAGATCTCAATAAATCCTTGTTCCTCCCCCCTCTAGTATATTTTTCTGGCATTTTCTCTCCTCTGCTAATATTGCACTGTTGACCATTTTCTCCACTTTACTAATGTTCTGGTTTGGTAATATCTGCCTTTTCCTACATCTAGGCAGTTTGGAAAGCTGCAAAACTTTAGAATAAAAGTTCATCAACAAATGCTTTTCATCCAGCCAATTTATTCTTGTTTTTCTCATTACCATGTTCCCAACAATGGCATAGCTCCATTTTCTACATATAAACACACACACACAACCCACAATTCCTCTACTCACTCTGATGAAGGGCTACCACTCCAAATGTCAGCTTTGAAACTCTTAACAGTGGCCAATTTATTTTATCAACTCAGTTGATAATAACAAATTACCTTGCTATACTCTCCCACTGACACAGCACCACAGTCTTCAGAAACTTACCCTCTAAACCTACTACACCAAACTACACCGAACTACACCTGCTACAATTACTGCACCAAACTACACTAGACTACACATACTGCACCAAACTACCCTTACTTCTCAAACTATTTGATTTTATGATAAATGTTATAGTTTTTCCTTAGATAGTGTAAAACCTTGTTTCATATTTGTGATGGTAATCATGGATCTAGTATAATTATAATCTGATCAAGATTCCTCAAAAAAGAGTTATGCAATTTTGGAGTAAATTAGATATATTCATCTCAAAGTTTCTAGGAACTACAAAGGTCACAAATTCACCGCCACAAGTGGAGGCTTTCTTGAAAGATATGGTAATACACCCCTGACATGTTAAACTGATTAGCTCTTTGATTAGTATTCAACCAACTCGCCCCCAGGGACCAACTTGCTCATGCATAAAATCACTTCAATAAGCTCATTACAGATTTAGACTTGTTTCAGTTTAGTTTTGATGTTTTTGGCAGCTGGTAATTACCATCACATTCAAACATTTAGATGCTATGGATGCTTTCCAACACCTTTGGGACACTTATTACACTGCAGAATTGTATATTTCTTCAGTAGGAAAGCTGTTATTTTATTTACATGTTACACTTTTGTGTTGTTTTGTTTGTTGTGTTACATAATTTGGCCAAAGAATCAAAGCAATAATTGTTCGGGGATTTAGATCTCAGTATGTAAGTGTTCATATGTAATGGTATGCCAGTTGCTGGACACTTTGGTTTGGTAATATCTGTGAATATTATTTATTAAATGGATATGAGAAGGATCTTTGCCAGAATAAACACTATTTCAAGGGAAATAGAAAAGTAATTTTACATGTGGGTGGGTTGGTGTGGGCAATTAGTTCATGGGTGATTTGACTGTTAATTTCACTCACATTTTACAAGCTAATCAAATTACTGGGTTAGACTGTAACATGAATTGTGTTAAATTTAGTACTTGGATCAAACTTAAGACCTTATTATTTACAGACAGCTGATGATCACATGTTGGATCCCAAAGCTGTAATGTTCAACATGTCAACATATTGTTATACAAGCTAAATTGTTAAAAATGGTTTCATAATTGATTCTTTTATGGGTCGGTCTTTCAATACTTTTTTGCTCCTAATCTCTTTAAAGAATTATATCACACACATGCCCATCAATTTTTTCATGATAATTAATGATGGTGTGATGGAAAGACTACAGCTAGCAAGACACATGTCTAATTTTACATTTATGCACCTGCAACTTTTAAGAAAAGAATGGTAATGCCAATTTTTTAATATTTAATTGCAATCAGCATATCAAGGTTCACCTTGTTCAAAGTTACCTTTAAACTCCCTTCACATGTTGCTGTTTTGTTAATATTCAACAAGTATTCACAGAAGGTTAGGAGAGTATCATTGTACAATATTCACTGAGTGTAAGGTGAATAATTGTTTTAGTACAATTGCTTGTAAATGCATTTGAAATCTCTTGTAAATGTTTGTTTTGATGTTGAACCCATTCTGTTTCAATTGTTTTGATTACTCATATTGAAATAGAGTCAGTTCCCACTAGGATTTGATAGGTTCATTAAATTCACTTGGCAAAAACTTCATGTCTTTATTTTAAAAAGTGTTACTCCAAACTTGTGCACTTCCTCTGTAACACTGACAAAACCTGAGGCAGCCATTTTGAAATTTAGTGCTCCTGCTATAATCACCTAAAAGAAGATATGATGCAATCCTCTACCAATCAGAGGGTGTACATCTCTATAAACACTGGAGCGATTATAGTAATATTAATTATGTTAAGTGTGTGAGGTAACATTGCTAAACTCAAAACTGCATTGTAACTGAAGTTTTAAAACACTCAGTGAAGTATGTTCAGAACCATCTTAAATACATTACATTGTTGCAGAATTAAGGTGGCACTGAGACCACAACACACCTGTATTTTGAACTTTGCAAAAACAATCAAATTCAATATGTTAATGTAAACATTAGGGGCTCACACATACCTGGGTTTATGTACCTGTAACATTTATGTTTGGGAGCAGAACATGTGGTTTATTTATCAAATGCATGAATATAAATTTGGCAAGGGCTGCAAACTTTTCATGCATAAATTAATCTGTGATTGCTTAATGTTGCTGTTATTGAAATTCATCTTTGTAGGCAAGGACGGCAGGTCTTAAGGCAGGAGGGCAGATGCCATATTGTGAACTATGTATTTCCAGGACTTGTGTCTGGACAAAGCAAAAGATATCCAGAGTAAGAGAACAGAGTTTAGAATTTATTTATCATAATATTGTATAAATTTTATCTAGAGAATTTAAACCAGTCCTCAAATCCAATCTCAATTTTTTAAAGTCTATCTACTTTGTCAGAATTTGTGCTGCAAACTTGCTTATTTGAATTATATCACACAATGATCAGAAGGTCATAGTTAGGTTCTCTATAGAGAGGTTCTCTATAGAGGTGTCCTCTTGGATATCTTAGAAATCATCTTCTAGATGTGCTTCAACTTTTTCTTTGGCCATATTTTTGTAGGTTAGAGAGTATATCCGTCACATCAGTAGAATATCATTCACTACTCAAGATCCAGATGACAAAACAGTATTTGGCTATGTGTGCAGACCAGTTAACCCCTTTGAAAACAATAATGAGCTTTATGCTTTTAAGTCCGAAGAAGTAAGTAAAACCAAAAAGGGCCTTGTGATAACTTAGCTGAATTATTAGGAATTCATATAGCCTTTTTATTTATGGATGAGTTTAGACTAGGAATCTTGTCTTCTTTAAAGAAAAACAATATGCAAGACTAGGCTTTGAACTTTGTAGGGGTTCTTTCATCAGAACCAATTAAGGTTGCCCGGTGATTAAGATGTCAGATAGAGAGAGCTCAAGTTGTGAAAGCAAATGGATTTGTTTCAAGGATTGCAGAGTGGTAGCATATATATTATCTTAGAATGGAGTCATGTTTGACAGACAACCCCTTGGAAATAAGTTTGATTTGATCCCTAGGACGTCCCTTGGCGCGGTTCTGTCTCTACAGGAATTAGTATTAATCTGTTTGGTACTGATGAGTAGCACAGTCACGCCGCCATTTTGGACTCAAGTGCCTTTGCTAACGAATATCTTCGGGAAGGTTTAACCTCTAAATCTCCCACTTTCCACAATATAAGCTTAGTTATCCTACTTCATTTTGGTGTAAAGAAAACAAGGTTTGCGACAAAGTGAAAATTGTAAAAAATAAATATTTCCTGAAAATGCGTGAATTTCTGGGTGTAACGCGTAACATGAAATGTATCAGACGGAAGAAAAAAAATGAAATATCTCAATATAGAACGCACGTGGGGCCACTAGTTTTTGGCCGTTAGTAGTTTATGACAAAAGCAACAGGCAGTATGATTTGCAACAAGAATGGTTTATTCTAACGCAAGTTATAAACGTCTGTTTTTATCACTGGACAATGTAACGCTCGCAACTATTAAAACAACCATAGTGTGCAAAACTAGCAATAATGATAATTTCGACTGTGTAAGCAACAAACTAATAACAAAAATGTAATGGGCATACATCATAATATTTACAAACCAACGCTGAAGTTTAATCGTCAAGTAGAATGTTTTCCAGATCAAAATAAAACGCGCGGATATTGAGCTTAATTCCATCACATATCCACCAGTAGATCCGTTGTCAGACGCGATTCTTGTTAAGTTGAGTAAACAAGCTCACCTCTCCTGGAATGGGCTTGTATTAAGCTAAATTTACAGGACGTTTCAACCCATTTCGTTAGATCTAACGCTAGAAATTTATGTTTGATCGACGCGGAAACACTTTCCGCCATTGCTGCCGTGTTCATGAACCGTAACGAAGGAAAGTGACGAAGGAATATGGCGAAAAACACCACCAAAACTTCCACGAAATCCGCTCCTTCGCAGCTTCTCTTTGAAAGCACATGGTTCGTTTACACAGACAATAACAGGGGAGTCCATACAGAGTTTGCTGGGCAAGATTATTGCATAACAATGAAATGTAAAGCGTTTGTACATGCTGCTACTGTCCGTCACATTTGCGGTGACCTACCAGTCAGAAAGAGTGGACGAAAGTCTATTTACAAACTCCCTTTAAAAGAAAATGAGGAAATCATTGCTTCAATGTGAACTAATAATTACAAAACCTCTTTTTTTCCATTTTTACATTGATTTTCTTAAGATTTTATGAAAAACCAAAAATGTGCCACGCCCACAAGGGATTGTGGGTAATACCAAAATTAGTGGTATTAATGCAAAATAATAAAAATATTTACAGATATTGATTACAATGTACATTTTGATCAAAATTAAAGTCAAAAAGTGATAAAAAGTGAAAAAATAAAAAAATAGTTATTTTTGAACTATGTTACAGCAAATGGCTATGTGACTGTGCTACTCATCTTCTCAGGTTGCGTTAAAATAGCAAAATAACTCCTTTTCACCGTAGCGGTGAAGGTTTTAAACTTTAAGAAAAAAAGGCCGTGAATCGACCAGAATACCTGCAGACACTGTAATTTCAGAAGTACAAAGAAATTTTTTATGACATCATTACATTTGAACCCCAAAAAGTTATCTTCCTTTGCCAAAGTTCTACGGAAGGAAAGGTATTCCATGTGATACCCAAATCAGACAGACATATTTCAGCAAACGCATAAACATTTGAGAATGAAGGGTTCATACGTTCTTAGTTACACATTTCTCTTTGATGATTTACGAATGTATCGGCCATTTTTGAAAATGAAGTTACTAGCCAATTTGTTTGGTGCAGTTTTACCCCTTGTCTTGGGGGTGAAATTTTTTTCTTCAGACAAAAACCCTTCATTTATTATACAGATTACAACTTTAAGACTCTCAAGTGCATGTCTCGATGAGTTGCGAGCTTTTAATGTATTGCATAACGTTTTTGCTCTTCAGGCCGAGGTTATCATTAAAACCTTGCGGAAATATATAGGACCTACGACTAATATCATGAGAGAGGCGACCAGATCATTAGATGGTATGTACTACTGAGCCAAAGTACCCCATGTACGTTATTTAATAGCTAGCCAGGTTAGTTTTGTTCTACATAAATGACCTATTGATTTCCTTGTCGCCGGAGTCTGTTTTCGGGCGCGCATCTCTTCGATATCAGCTCACTCTTGTGCAGGATTGTCATTAGTTACAGAGTGCTTATCATCACCTTCATAACCTTCATCATTGTTATTTTTTATCCATCTTGTCAATCTAATCAGACACAATCCTTCACGTGACTTAAGGGCACGTGCATAACGGATCCGTCTAAACACTTACACGAAGGTGCTCTGTTTAAGAGCGGTCTGAGTACACGCGGTAACCTAAGTAACCTGTATTAAGCAGTCACCCTGCTATTCCCTGTGGGTGACCGCTTAATACAGGTTCAATTGTATAATGCTGTTGTGTTGCTGGTGATAGACTCCCTCTAATAAGGAAGCATCAAGAGATGTCTCAAGTCGTCTTCAGAATCAACCTATTTACTACGAGTCTTTGTAGTTTAGCAATTTTGAATTGTGTATTGCAGCCATCAGGCTGCTTATTTATCACGAAATGCAAAGACACAGAAGATGATTCAGTTTACAGAGCATTTAGTCTCATATTTTTCTCCCCTATTCTGCTAATTTTATTTTCCCTTTGATATTCTCAAGTCAAAAGATACCTGGCAAAATAATTTTTAATTTTTGTTAAGTATTGATACGTTTCTTAGCTACTGCTAGAATGAATTTGAAGTATAGAGAAAATGTACAACAAAGAGCTGTAAGGAACTAATCCAAGTGGGGACCCACTCTTACAAGGCTGAACAACAAGTGAGATGTGCATAGAAAAAAAACACAATTGGCACTCTGCCCATAAGCTTGACTAGACCTATACATTTTTACTCGAAGTAAAAATTTTACTTAAGCTTGTAAAGCGATAGAGGGTTTAGGAGGATGTAGGTCTCGAACCCAGACCCCTTCTCCCAGAGTCAAGCATTCGAACCTTGTAGGCCAACATGTCTTTCATGATCACAACTGTAATAAGGTTTGAACTGTCGACAGTTTGCAATCGTTTAAGCATGATTTTACTAGTGACCAGAAATTGTTGTAATAGTAAAATTTTTCCTGTAGGTGACAATAGCATCATGTCAGTTGAAAACCGTTATGGTTTGGAGGTTGGATCTATGGTAGAGGTTCCTGTGGGTGGTGTTCCAAGATATGGTGTCATTCGCTGGATGGGAAATATTCCACAAGTGAAGGGAAATCTGGTAGCAGGTCTGGAATTAGTGAGTGAGATTTATCAGACAGAGTGAAAAAATTACAGTAAACGATAAATTTGATTTTTTAAGCTCTTTATTATTAATTATTGTATCACCAACATTTATCTATACTTTCTTTCTTTGAAGGAAGAAGAGGTGTATGAATGTTTAGATGGGACTTTTAATAAAGAAAGATATTTCACCTGCCCAGTAGGAAGAGGTTTCTTTGATTTACTGAAGAATTGCCGACCAGATTCCCGCTTTGTTAATTTACCAACCACTGATGTCAGTTTAAATGCTGAAAAAGGTAAGCAAGCCAGGCTGAACAACACAACTGAGATGTGCACAGCAAAAACAGAAAAAAAGCAAAAAAAACCAAAAAATCGAGGCCTTTGCTCTTAGGCTTGACTAGACCTGTACATTTTTCCAAGTTATTTAAGTGAAAATTTTTTTAAAGCTTGTAAAGCGGGAGAAGTTGTAGTAAGATGCAGGAAAGCTTTTTTTTCAGTGAAATTGTATCACAACTGAAAGGTTAAAGGTAAAGTCTGTACACAAGCTAAGTGGCCCACCCAGGATGTGCACTTCTGAGAAATCACCTTAAGTGTTATTCCTCGTTAACTTACGGGTATGTCGTAGCACAAGATCACCAAAATCTAAAGATGAGGTGAAGCAGTTAGAGCAAGGAGCACATAGAAATAATGGATCTGTGGTAACAGCCAAATTTGTCACAGATAGAAAGTCAAGTGAAATTGCGGAGTGGAAATGGAAAAGAATTCAACTAGTGAATAAAAGTATATATTTTCCACTTCCGGCTAGGCACAGGTTCCTCATTTTGCTCTTAAACTTGCAATTAATTGAAGACGGATTTCTCATCTTGTAAACAGACAAGCGATTTAAGGAGGAAAATGAACGAGGAGGAAACGTTCACAGGCTGGTGAGAGAACTGGAGGAACAGGTGACACATTTGCAAGCAGAACTACGAGAGAAAGAGTTGAGAGAGACCAGCTTACATGAACAGCTGAAGAAAAAAGAACAACTTGAAGAAAATGAACGAGGAGGAAACGTTCACAGGCTGGTGAGAGAACTGGAGGAACAGGTGACACATTTGCAAGCAGAACTACGAGAGAAAGAGTTGAGAGAGACCAGCTTACATGAGCAGCTGAAGAAAAAAGAACAACTTGAAGAAACTTTGAGAAAACAATCGACTGAGATGGGGCAGCAGCTGACAAACCTGCGTGGACAAGTACAAGAGAGTAAGGAACAAATGCGAGATGTAACCCAGCAAATGACGATTGTCCAAGGAAAGCTACAAGAAAAAGATGAAGAAACTGCTAAATTACAGAATCAAGCTAGTGCCCTAAGGCAACAACTGGAGAAAAAAGACCAGGAAATGAATGAATTGGAAACAACTCTGTCCACAGCTCAGGATGAGTTACGTGAACTTCAACGACAACAGTCCCCTGAGTGGGTCATTTCACGGGATCACATTCAGCTAACAGGTAGATTTCTCGGCGAAGGAGGCTGGGCAAGAGTTGTGGAAGGCAAATATTGTGGTTGTTCGGTTGCGGTGAAACAGATGCATAAGTTGAATCTCTCTCCTTACAACCGCAAGTTATTTGAGCGAGAAATGGATATTGCATCGAAATGCCGCCACCCTTGCTTGCTGCAGTTCATTGGAGCTACAAATGACGAAAAGAATCCATTGTTTGTAACAGAGCTGATGGAAACAAGTTTACGTACTCTGTTGGAACAGAGAGCTCTTTCTGAGGCTGAATTGTCTTTTATTTCCCTGGATGTGGCTCGGGCGCTGAACTACCTTCACCAAAAGCAACCATCTCCTATCATTCATCGCGACATCAGCAGTGCAAATGTGCTACTTTGGCGACAGGGTGAACATTGGCGAGGCAAAGTGTCGGATTATGGAACTGCCAACTTTATGCAGCAGACCATGACAGTTGCTCCTGGTGCCATGATATACAGTGCTCCTGAAGCGCTTACTAAAAATCAAACCGTTAAGGTTAGCTTTAATTTGTTTATTGTATATATGCGTGCATTTCACGTGCAGGTAAGTTTATGAATTGACTTAAACTTAAGGTAACGGACATTAATATTTTTATATTTACAGACATTTAATATTTTTTTTATTTTGTTGACATAAAATAGACAGTATGCGTTATTGACAGGCCGGATTGGTATTATACTGTATTCATGTATATTAGCCTAACAGGTCTGATCTTTGAGGTAAGGTTTTTATTGTTCCTAGGACATACTGACAATGCTAGTTGGGCTAATCTACTTGAATACAAAGGAATACTAATCGAGTCTGCCATGGGTCTGTATAGTCAAGTGTTATCGCTTATCTCGAGATAGAAATGGATCGAGACATTTTCACTCACTTTGACGTAAGAAACTAGTGCAGTGTTGTATTTCCTCTCATTTTTGTCCCTTATCTTGTTCAGGTTGATGTGTACAGTTTTGGTGTCCTCCTCTGTGAGATGTGCATCCGGGAATTGCCAGATCCAATGAGGCGTGATCGGCAAGTCGCCATGGTTAAAAACAAATTGAATCGAGCCCTTATCCGGGGATGTTTGCAATCAGAGCCCGAGGCGAGACCAAGCATACAGGAGATCATTGATGAACTTGAGGAACCTGTTTAAAATAGGTTTGGTCGGTTTTGCTTTTAACAGAATTAACATAATTCTGCTATTACCAATGTAATTGTAATGGTGCGTATGCTACTGAAGGACATCTTTGGTGTATCCCCCCCCCCCTTCCCCAACCCGGAAATCACAAGACATGATTAGATTGATTAATTTCAAAAATCAATTTTATTATTCAGAATGGGAGAAAGTCATGAAATTTCAAAGGAATGGAAAATGGTCGGAGTATCGTCAACTAAAAGCATTTACTACGTGGGAGGTTGTCCTGTAAGTGTTTTGCAGAAAGAGTTTATGAACAAATAAGTTTTATGATTTCTTTTTTAGCTCAGGTCTGCAAAATGCCCTCCCACCTTGATTTAAATCTTAAGCGAAGACCCTCGTATGTTTGGCAAGGTTTGAAATTAGGGGATGTTATTTTATTTTCCCAAGTACTAGCTGAACCATTTTTGGCACGTGCTTGAATCTGAATGGCGTGCGATCGGTTTGATTCCTATCATGCACTTTTAAGGTCATTCGTAATATTGCATTGGACATCCTTACTGAGCATGATTTTACACCCGACCGCTGCGCGCAGATTAAAAAATGGTGGCTCTTTTCTTTGTACTCGGTACTCACCAGAGAGGTAAATTTCACTTTCTCCAAACGAGGAGGTTGATCTATCATTTTTTTCTCTACCTTGGTGTTGGGCACGTATTATCTTTCCGTAAAATAAATATAAACGAATTCTCTTCGAAGGAAAAGGAATTCAATTTTGGAAACGCGAACGTAGTAGGATCCGGTAATTATAATTTTCAATGTATTTTAGCAATCATATAGGACCTGTATTTCTTTATTTCAAAATTTACATTCCTTCAAGGTAAACAACCAATAGTTAAAGTTTGACAAAAATCTCAGTGCAGGTTCTTTTTCAGAGGTCTGATCTTAGGATCACACTCCAGGTGCTTCGAAAATAGAAAATTCACATAGAAATAAGCTTTAATGCGTTTCATTCCGATAACATATGGATCACATGGTACTTTTTTTAGCAAAACGTGCTTTTCAGAAGTCCACAGAAACAAATAAATAGAAGTGTTAACGAGGGAGTTTATGATAATGTTCTCTTGATTGTGTAGCAAACCGTGCAAAGTATCGATAAATTTCTCCTGTGAGAACTATGTTTACTCCTCGTTCTAAAATTACAACCTACGTGATCACCACATCCTGTCACTTTCTCAGCCGGGAAAAAAAGTGTATGGTCTACATTCATTTAATTACCTAGCTTTTAAACTATGAAATTTCCTATTTGATGGCCTGAGAGCTTGCGAGGATTTTTATGAATTTGAGAGGAAAATTCTTAGTTTTGTCAACTTTAACATTTAAAATCACAAGCATGTACTTTTATATCTGTTGTAAATTGCATCGTATTTTATAGTATTTTACATTTTACTAATGTATTATTTGGAATGCATGTAAATTTTATAATGTTATTAGAATTTGTATTCTCATTGTATTTTGCTATATTAAACAGGAAGACGTAAGCTTAGTAGCTACACTCAAATTCGCGTAACAACTTCAGGTCTATTGAAGTGTTTCATTCAGAAATGGGTGTTACCGCTGGATTTTGTGCATAGAAGGCTCGATTTATTCCTTTGGGTATTCACTTCGAGGGTCACGTAGAACCACCGAAAGCGGTGGAGTCAGTCGTTCTGGGAAAAGTGAGATCTTTTGGAGGAAGACTCAAAGGAATGAAATAATAGCGCAATAAAGCGACCTCGAGCGGCAGCGTCTACAAGTGTATCATTTTTGTTTTCACGTGTCAATGAACTCCTAATAATCGTTGAAAACATTTTATGCCTTCAGGTTTTTTCGCTCAATGTTTTTCAAGTTTGACTTTTATTTATTAAAACAGAGCATTTTAAGAGCTTTAAAAGGAGATCTTGAACGAGCATAGTTGATGATTGTAGGCCCAAGTTGGTATTTTACTTCTTGTTATTGGCGTTTTAATTTGTGCACAGCCGCCTTTTACCGGTGTCACAGCGGATTTGGACCCCCCCGGTCCAAATCCACTAGCGGATATGGACCCCCCTTCGTAGATTTGGACCACCCTACCAAACTTTCCTTTTAAGCATCCTTTGTATCATATTTGGTAACTAATTCTATTTGCAAGCTTTTTTGTCGATGTTCTTTTCAATCACAACACAACATTTCCTCAATAAAAGTAAACAAAAAAAAACAGCCATTTCGTTCCAATTCTACCGCATTCGTTATAGCGAGTCATACAGTAAACGCAAGAATTAGATGTGAACAAACTACTCCATTCGAACTATTGAAATTGTTAAAATAAATCTTTGCTTCTTCTGATGCGAATCAACATTGGCAAGAAACGTCATAACAATAGTGGAGACTATTGCGTCCAGTCACAAAAATAACTCAGTCTGATTTTCTAAAATAATAACATTAAACAGTTTGTGAAGAAGAACGAAGAAACCACTCATATTACAAGTCGTTCGTAAAGCCTGTGATAAGTAAAAATGTTTCTATTCTGAACTATTGGAACTCTAAGCTTATTTTTAGATGCAAATCAACATTAATGTCAACGTCCTAACAAATGTGGAGACTATTACATCGAACTCAATCTTATTTTCTAATTTTAACGATCATTAACTGTTGAGGGATGCGAAATAACACCTTAACAATTACGAAGACGTCTAGAGTCTGGCAATCTGCAGACAATGCAGAGCCACTCGCCCTCCGGGGCAGTCTTAAATCCCTCGCAGCTCATGTGTAACCTTTCTTCGCACAACTCGCACTGTACCATGTCGTCCCAACACTCTGGCATTGAACAATGACAAAATAAATTAGTGTCACAAGTTTGTCTCTTATTGAATCTAGCTGTGTTCGACTATCGCGGAAAAGGTTCAAAAACGACCTCACTCCAGACATTAAACTAAATTCTTGCCCGTTTTCCCTTGGTCAAAAGAAACATCCGACGGGATGCCAGTTTGTATACATTAACGATACGCATGTTTTAAGTTAAAAACATACTTTAGTACGCACTGGAACGTAAAATATCATCCATTTTTACTAAAACGTTAAGGATGATGTTTTCACTCAGTTTTGTTGGGGGGTCCAAATCCGCGGAGGGGGGTCCAAATCTAGGGGGTCCAAATCCGCTGGGACACCGGCGCGTGAGAAGCATGAATTCCGAAGAATGACTGCAGACATTTTATGCATTCAAGTTTTTTTCGCCAAATGTTTTCAATTTTGATTTGCGAAAAATAAAAAAGGGAATTTTGCGAGCTCTACAGAGAGACCTTTGAACGAGGTGTGTGTGAAACGTGTTTGCAAGTCGTGCATTCTCGAACATTCCGATAATCGCGTGCTAGATCACAGTCGAAATTTACAAAAGTCTTATCTAAGCAAATATATAGCTTCAAGTCTGACAGCTCTTAATACATTTTAGCGAATCTGAAATTCATCAGATCCCCTTGAAAGCAATTGCTGAAGGAAGTGTTTGTGGGACGGGTGCGCTCGCGCGCCGTTTTTGTCGGCTGTGACTAAAAGTGGAACGGGGACGTGGGACTCGGGGACACGCGGGGACTCGGGGACGTGATAAACAAACAACACCTAACATTTGCGCTGAATTTGTAGAGTATAATTATCGGTGGTCTCGTAAAAGCTATTTTATGCTGAAGAGCTTGTTAGTAGAAGCCGATGGTTTTCAGCGTCCATGGTTCGGCCGGACATTTTTGCTTGCTTATTTGACCGTGAGAACTCTGGGTACAGAATAGTTTCAACGCAGGGGGTCTTGAAACATCCGTGCCTTATCCTTGCTAAAAAAGAATAAGGAAGAAAACACAGTTACTTACCAGGAAAGTCCTCCATGGCTGCTTACGATGTTTAAACGTTGAAACTATTCTGTACTCAGAGTTCTCACGGTCAAACAGGCAAGAAAACATATCCGGCCGAACCATGGACGCTGGAAATCATCGGCTACTACTGACAAGCTCGGGTGACGCTATATCGGAGGCGTTCGTCGAGGATCGAACACACAAGTTTATAGTGCAGCGATTAAATTCAAAATAGATTATGTAAGCTTCAGCACTTGTTCCCACGAAAAGTTCAAACCTGAGATGTACAAGATCGTCCTGAACAAAGGAGCCTTGAGGTCCTGCAGTAGTTTCTTAATTTTGTTTTGAGTATTTTGTGGTTGTCATGAAATAACTACTGTAATATATTTCTTTTGAACAATTTTCACGGGATTTTTACCCGTGAGCGGACACATAAAATAGCATGACACCGTTACTATTTTCTTCCAGTATCAATCATTAGAAGAAGAAATAACACTTAATGCGTGATCGTGTAGTTTATACCGATTCCCGAAATCCTAGATTCATGAAAACAAGCCATCAAACCACACTGCTCTGTTTTTGTTTAGTCACATGTGGCTCACAGATAAAGATATACCAAAACTGATAAAAAATTTTTCAGTATGTTTGAGCTATTTACTAGGTTATCAATGCGCCAATAAGCCTAACAGTAACGTTTGAATTTTAGACGGTAACTTCGTCTCTTAAAAAGTAAATTATGGGAAAGATTCTCCTTGCAGCGTTGAGTCCGTTGAGAGAAGTTCAATGTTTTTTACTTACGTAATACGAAAAATTTGTCAACACTGAAACGTCAAATGATTCGTGAAATAACGAACGGGAATTTCAGGAATTGTATACACCCTACGTTTATGGGGAATTCTGAAGTAAATGGATGTAAATGACCTACCCGATTTTGTTTCCTCAATATGCGAAAAGTTCGATGGATTCCTCCACTAAAATACCTAAAAAAATTAAAACAGTTTCGCGGGTTATGCAAAAATCGAATGCTACTGGTACGTTTTATTATATTTCAAACTCTGTTTTCAAAAGGAGTCTCATCTTTGTTGGTGTGTGGAGGCAATGCCGAGTTTCATTGCTTAGATGGTAAACGGTAAAGGGTTTGCCGAAAAATTGGATCGGTACATTACCACCATTGTGTTCAAAGACGGGAGACGCTGCAAATGCATAATTTGAAAAAGTATTTCGGTATACTAGATTGCGCACTTAGAGTGTTTTCCAAGTGCTTTCCTTTATATGAAATACCTTTGAATATTTCAACACTTTTCCGTCCGGTGCATTGCGTAAGTTTTTAAAAAATTGCCTTCAAAAGATCGAGTCTCTACAGGGCCCACACTGAATTGATAAAAGCAAAAATTCAGTTAAAAATAAAAGAAACTGCCCACCATTTTTCGAAAACCTCTTGTGATTTAAGTCCTTTGAGTGCAAGGCCTTCTTTACAAAGCATGTGGAACTACTAAGAAGAAAACTCTCGAGCATATCCTCGAACTTATCTCTTTCCATCGAAATAACCCACGAAGTACTGGTTTTCAACAGAACAATTTTCATGGTTTTCCTCAAGGAAGTCAATCTCCGATTTGTTTAAAGAAGATTGATTGGTCGCCGCCATCATTACGCATTCTAGTGTCTTATTCAAAAATTGCCATCAGTTTTTAGATGTCATCCTTTCACGGGCTTTCGCAATATTCGCAGGTTTCATTATTTCACCAACGACCAAAACTACCGTGTACTCTTACCTTCGACGAACGCCTTCGATGTAGAGTCACCCGAAAAGCTCTCCAGCATATTACACCTTCCTCTAGACCACCGAAATTATACTTTACAAATTCAGGTGTTGTTTGTTTATCACGTCCCCGAGTCCCCGCGCTTCCCTGAGTTCCCGCGTCCTACGTCCCACGTCCCACGTCTCCGAGTCCCCGAGTCCCGAGTCCCGCGTCCCACGTCCTTGAGTCCCAGTCCTACTTCCTCGTTCTACTTTTAGTCACAGCCGTTTTTGTCAATTAACTCCAAACTTCTGTTGTTTACATTTAAGCTATTGTTTTTGTCTGATGTATTTCATTGCTGTAAACGCTAACGAAAACTTAACTTGTGTTAAATTATAGAGGCATGGTGTCTTTCAAATTCGGCGTTCGTTGCTGTTTGGTTAAGAAATTAAACGCAAAATTTTGCGGAATTGAAGTTATTTTTTGTTTTTGGACGATAACCACAAGAAATTGCCACACATGTCATCAAAGGGCGTTCCGATTTCTATAGCGGTCTTACATCTCCGAGTGAAATCCGACGAGAACCTAAACAATAGCATGAATATTTGAATACTTAACGAACTACGAAGCGTGGGTACACACTTAAATCGACGTGAAGTTGTAATGCGTGTTTAGCTAAAGTTTATGAATGTATGTACATATCGTGTGACTGGTTCTTGCGTCAGCGTGTATTCATCGAGTTATGAAGCGATCAGGTAGTTTGGAGAGTGCAAAAAATGAGTAACGTTTGCTTGAGGCACAGTCAAGAACGACTTTATCTTCTTGAGTGCTCTCCAAACTTACTAAGGGCTTTATAATTCTATGAACGCATAACCCTACATAAACCAAGCGTTCAATAAATTCACGCTGGTATTATTTCAATTTATAATAGTCTTTTAGGGTTAGACTTAAATATAGACAATCGGGATAAAATAGCGAGTAAAGTTCTGCTGTTGCATACGCTGTTTAGATCGCTGTATCAACTTTGTGAAGGCGTTATTCCCCATGAGCGAAGGGAGACGTTACACTTTATTTCATTTAACTTATGTGATTAGTCAATGTCATTGAGTTTTCTCTCCAAGTTTAAGGTGCAAATAAATGCGTTTAATTTCAAAGATCAAAAAAAATTCTCAAATTCCACGATTGAGAGGCCCGTAACTTTGTCATAGACCTAACTTCTGAGCCTTCTTCTCTTATGGCGAGAGTGAACTCTTTACCTTTGAACACGTCCATATTAAAAGATAAAACATCTGTATCCCGCTTCAAAGACTTGTCAGTTCCAGTAAAAATTCCCCACCCCACCCTGGCAAGGTTCAAACTCTTAACCCCCGGGCACGGACGAAATACAAGGATCGTAATTGTCCGGCGAAACGTGGTCAAGTGACAGGCTGTGTTAAAAGGGTGTTTAACATTCAAGAAATTCGCAGAAAGCGAAGTCTTCTATCAAATCGTTGACTTTCTCGTACTTTATACATGCTCTAAATATATAATTGATCGGAAAGGCAAACATTTCAACGTTAGGTTGCCGAAACTGCAAACGGTTGCCCCAAACGCCAAAAGTTGCTCCGAAATTGCTGAGCACAATCGGAACAGGCCAACAGATAACTTAAATATGGCTCGAACCATTTTCCATTTTTCTCGGGATTTCGAGTTAGCGTATTGTGCTGTATAAGGGCCTGTTTACATGGAGGTGGGGGACCTCAGGTAGGTGAGGTAACCCGCCTAGGTGGGGTAACCAAACTGTCCATATAATTTCGCAATTTTTGATCACGTTTAGATGGGGTGACCCGCCTAGGCGGGTTACCCGGTCTGCCAGGTAGGGTAACCTTGTCAGCCGGGGTGACAATTTGCCATGTAAACGTGTCAAGGTGGGGTAACCCGCCTAGCCGGGGTCGCATTCATGGCAAAAAGCTCAAAAGCGACACATGTATCTTTTAAATTTTTGTACATTTCCTTGCCGTGTCATGGCAGAAATCACCAGAAACCGCAACGGACACACAAGGAGTGTAAAATGTTCACATTTCAGAATATTTATCATTGTAAATCGACCATATTTGGTTTCCCAAACTTTTCCGTGTAACGTATTAAGTCAACGGTTCCTTGCGAAGTCAAACACTGCGTAACACAACGCGTGACGCTTTCATGAATAAATACATATGTGTCCGAGAATTAACTTTCGTCTTTTTCGAGATGTGAACCTGGGACGCCTCTGCTCAAACTCCTTAATTTCAAGCGCAACAACAACCTCAAGAAACCTCACCCCAGCACCCCGGGGTTGTAAGATTGCATGTGAATGCGTTTTATTTTTCGACCACGGCTAAGCGGGTTACCTCACCTACCTGGGGTCCCCCACCTCCATGTAAACAGGCCCTTACAGTGGGAAACCAGGAAAGACTCGTTGAAGGCACCCAGCTCTCCGTGGCTTGAAACCCAAAATGTGTGTAAAACAAGCTTGAACATACGACAAATGAAAATTCTTTGGAAAGTGAAAATAGTATGAAATATTTGTGACCCGATTTGAAAATTTGAAAGCAATGGTGATGCTGCAGAAGAAAGATAAATCTCTGCTGTGACGCGCTGGTTCTGCAATCCGCCTACGAGTGGGGTGGTCTTTGGCTTTGACTCGGTCGAACACAATCTTTTATTAATTGCAATTTTCAAAATGAACTTTCTTTTAACGATTAGTTGACGTAATGGTGTAGAATTATCTAAAGGTATTGATTAGAAATCGAAATCAGGTACGGATCACATAAAACCATTATCACAAGGAATAAGAAAAGGCACGTGCGAATTGTAGACCCAACTTTCTCTTTAGAAGATGACGTAATGTTAAGGTTGTAATAGCTCATACCTAATCTTCATAAGAACGATGCAAGGAAATTCCTAGAAAGATGGCGTTGTTCCTCCCTTTTCATTGCGATCAATGCATGATTTGTTTACAGAGAAGGTGAAGTTATCGTCCCTTTATACTCGGCACGAATGGAAGAGCTCAGAATTAAGTATATTCTTCTACGTGATCATGTCGGACACGCAGTTGAAAAAGACATGTTGTCCCTCGGCCTTACGACAAGGTCTTCACCAGAGCAAGTTTTGCGAGGTGAGTTATTAGAAGGTGTTCCTGAGGCTGAACAGCCTACAGACTCAACTGAAGTAGCTGTTGTTGGAATTGAACGTAAATCATTACGTCTTGAATGTCCTACGGAGGATGTGGCTCGACTATCTGAGGGAGAAACCAACTTGCTTTTAGCAATTACTTCAGCTGAAGGAAGATACCAAACTTATATGGATAGGAAACGTTTAGCATTTGGCCGACAATTGTCACACGGAAGGGCTGTTTTCGTCGAAGTGAAAGGAGCCTCACGGATTTTACCTGGTATTGTTTGGTACAAAGGTGTATTACCACCCTGTCTGGGAACTTGGTTTGGAGTTGAACTCTTCGTAAGTACTCGTGCATTAGTTAAGTCGTGTTGTTGGATGTAACAATTTACATCATGTAAATTTCGTTCAGACAGCAACACAACTGAATTACCATGCATGTTACACCGAGTTAAGCTTGCTTTTACATCTCGTGAGTATTTTTTCAATCTCTTCAATGCCCATCTTCGTAGGAGACTCTTAAGACTGAAGGGATATCTAAATGATTCATTCAATAGTATGTAATGGTAAAACTTACTCTTCAGACAGTCATGTGCAAGTTGTCATCTCTAATTAAGAATAATGTCATGTTTACCGATAAGATTTTATAATCCTGCTCTCTTGGTAGTATGGTGTACATGTATGTTGTACACTGGATGCTGAACAGTTAGTATGAGATAAAATTTTTTCATTGATTATGATGGGAACCATAGTGATGATAACGATGATGATATTGGTGAAAGTCATAATGATGGTTAATGATGACAGTTATCTTCAATATTAATGATTACAATCTGTGGTTTAACATATCTAGAGACATCCAGGGTCAGGAACATGCGATGGAACATTTAGAGGCAAGCAATACTTTATCTGTGAGCCAGATTCTGGGGTTTTTGTTGGACTGGACAAATTGACAGCTAGAGAAGTTGAAGATGACTTGAAATCTTCAAAAATTACAAAAAAAGATGAGCATATTCAGGCCAAACTTAAATCAAGTCTTAAGGATTCAGTACTGTCATTTTGGAAGGGAAAACATGTGCAAAGGTCATTTCAAGGAATTGATGGAGTGCTTAAGATTGATGAAAGAGTTGTGACATTTATTATGGATTCTCCAGCCAGAGAAACTGTGCGACATATTGGAGAGGAGGTTGATTCAATTGGAAATGTTTACATAATTGTAGGACTAGAACTGGTAGGTAATCATAATTTTTAACTTAATTGTACATGTATTTTTGGATGTAGAGTACCACTCCAAAGTAAGTTGACAGTCTTGACTCAAAACTATTGAGAATCCAGGATCAAGAATCGAGGCTTGAGTATCAAGAATAAGGAGTGAGACGCTTGAGCAACCTCTTGAGGATCTTGATCTGCAATTTTGAGGAAACTATGTCATTAATTCTTGAACACACAACAATACTGAAGGACAAAGTGCTTGACACGTGGCTTCATGATACAGAAGCAGCTTGCTTGTATGCAAATATTTTCATTTTGAACAGGGCAGGAGGTTGAATCAAGCTACTCTCTAGCTTTTCTTAACAGAATGGGATCACATGAATGTTCATAAAAATTAATTTTAAAAAATTGAACTTTGGGTGCCAGGAGTGACATCAGTTTTTCTTGGTTTTGGAATCATCCACAAATCAACAACAGACTGGTAAAAATTTAAACAAAAAATCCCACAGAAACTGTGATTTGTTGCATATGGTAATATTGTGTTACTTCTTGTAAGTGATAGTTTGAGATAAAAGGGGATAATCTATGGCTGAAATTAAAATTAAGTATTAATATTAAAAATAGTTTTAAATCAAAGATGTGTAGATAAATTGCAATCAATTTATAGAATGAAATGAGCTACTTAGTTAGTCATTGTATTTCAACTTCCTTTCCTCTATCAGGATGAAAGAGTGGGATCTGGTGCTGGCAGAAGATCTGGCTCTCAAAAGTTTGTTTGCAAGAGAGATTATGCAGCATTTGTACCATAGAAAACTGTCATACCAGAAAAGGACTTTGATGGTAATCCTGGAAAAGCTGCAAGACAAGAAGCTCAGGGAAACCGGGAGCAAATTCGTGAAGATGAAATGTATGCAAGATCAATGAGCTGTGTTAATATACCATCAGGTAGACAAATTATTTGACATCTCAGTTGTTTTATAAAATTTTTTACTCACCTGGTCAAGTACACCATGCATAATGAAGCAGAGAACCATAATCTGTGAACTGATATCTCTTAACAGTTAATGGCTTGAACCTGGGGGGAATATGTAATAATGTAGTTTGATCATCGAACTGAGTGTAGTCCTGAGAAGGACTATTGTCGGTAGTGGTGACTGACATTTCGACAATCTGAGCGGAAGTCATCATCACAGTCAAATGATTAGTTGTTGTGAGTCGAATGTTCTAAGTCCGGTCCCTATAAACTGATTGGTCAGTTTTGCTGTAAAGCTGGGTCTTTCTGTTCGGTTTGATCGTAATTTTAACGTCTTGAATGAGTCATTTGTATGGTGCTGGTAGTGGTTGACACCTGTTGAGGGGAGTCTGTTCTTAAAGTTAGTAAACCAGCTTTCCAGAGTTAGTCGTTGAAAGCAGTTGGTGCTGTAAGTTAGGCATTGCGCTGAGTCCTAGTTAGTAGTGTGATTTGTAAGTTGGTGATGTTCAGCAATGTGATTGTCACATTGCCTTTCCTGGTCGTTCGCTTTTGTTAAGTCAGTCTTGTTGTGAGGTTTCTGCCCGTCTCTCTAGTGTAGGAGGCGTGGCAGTCGGAGCAATTTATCTTATAAACCACTCCTTGTCTGTTCCTCGGTTTGTCTTTGTCTTTGACGTTTGTCAGTAACTGACACAGTGTAGTGATGGGTTTGTGGGTGACGCGGATATTCTGGGTTGTCTTATAAATAAGAGGCTGGGAAGTGCATGTCATGGTGAATTGTTAGCTTTGATATATTTTATAACATTTTCTGGTCTTTAGGCCGAGGTTATCGTTAAAATCTTGAATGCAGCTTCGGAAGTTGTGACTATTGAAGATGCGGAATTATAAAAGGTGCGCCCAAACAACTTTTCGTAAGAGACAAACAGTATTAAACTATATTAAAGTTCACACGGCAACCAGGTGGACAATCAGACATAGTTTGAAGCTACACTGGTTTGCAGATTTAATGAATGTAACCGAAGAAGTTACAATTCATAGACCCAACGTTTCGACACTCCTGTCTAGTGCCTTCATCAGGGGTGATCTAAACGCTGCAACAAGAGGTCCTTTTATATGATCACTAATTAGCGGCCTTTTTTTCTGACGAGGTGTAAATAGGCGTCAGGAAGCAGACCGCCATCGTCACGATTTAAAGGTGCGTGGGCGGAGTTAATGTGCCAAGCCTCCAAACAAAAGCATTGGTGGTAACGCCGATTAGTGGTGATAATTTTAGAATTATCCCACCCAATTGTATGGTTGGTTAGGCAAGTATGCTCCGATAAAGCTGAATTTTCCTTTTTGCAAAGAAAAACCGCTTTTTGGTGCTCTTTTAACCGTGTACCAAACTGGCGTTTGGTCTGTCCGATGTATTCGTTGTCACAGTCATTGCAAGGAATAGAATAAATGGCGTCGGTTCGTTGTTCTTTCGTGACAGGATCCTTAGGTTTGGCAAAAATATGCCCCAAAGTCTGAAAAGGTTTTTGAGCAACTTTAACGTTGTGGCTATTCAAAATTCTCTTGATGGGTACAGTAACACCCTGTATGTAAGGAATAACAGCAAAACCAGTCGCTGGTTCCCTTTCATCAAGAGCGTTACTATTTGTAACTGGTTTTTGGCAGTTATGGAGAAACGTTTTTGTATAGCCATTTGCCTTTAGGACATTGGAAACATATTTCCTCTCCTCAGCCTTCGAATCGAGTGATGATGGTAGACAATCGGCCCTCCTAAGTAAAGTTTTGGCTACAGACTTCTTATGGCAAATAGGATGGTGAGAATCGAAAGCGAGGTATTTGTCGGTGTGGGTGGGTTTACGGTAGACACTTGTCTCTAAATTACCCTGAACCCCTCTGGACACATTTAAATCAAGAAAGGGCAAATGTCTATCCTTTTCACGTTCAAGGGTGAATTGGATAGACGGCTCTACTGAATTCAAATGCGACAAGAGGCGCTCCGCTTCATTTCCGGATACCGCAGAAATAACATCATCGACATATCGTTTCCAGAAAAAGGGTTTAACCGGTGAAGTGGCTAAGGCCCTTTGTTCCACGTCTTCCATTACCATGTTAGCAATGACAGCAGAAACAGGCGAACCCATAGCTGTACCAAAAACTTGTTGATAGTATGTGCCGTTATATGTAAATTGCGTGGTTTTGAGGCAAAAAGACAGCAGATGAATAATATCCTCCACAGGCAAAGAAGTTCTTTGTCCTAGGGAAGCATCTTCTGTGAGTCTTTCCTCCGCAACCTTAACGGCAAGATCAACTGGGATTTTAGTGAAGAGCGAAACAACGTCGAAAGATACTAATTCTTCACAAGCGTCAAGATTTTTATCTCTTATGAAATCCGTAAATTCGCAGGAACTTTTGACAGTGTAATCAGTATTCCCAACAACAGGCGACAAAATTCTCGCAAGATAACCAGAAATTGCATAAGTCGGAGAATTAACAAAAGAGACAATGGGTCTCAAAGGAATTCCCGGTTTATGAATTTTAGGTAAGCCATAAAAACGTGGACATAAGCCGTCACTACTGTATAACATTTTGTACGTAGAGTCACTAATTCTGCCAGCTTTTTTCAAATCAAGCAACATTTTGTTTAACTTTCTTTGAGTTTTACTGATAGGATCAGAGTTTAAGACAGCATACGTACTCTTGTCATTGAGCAGAGACAAAGCTTTGTCGTGATATTGCTGTTTGTCCATAACCACAACACAATTACCCTTGTCAGCAGAATACGAGCCTGTCCGGATCCTTTTTGAGAGTTATAAGCGCATTGAAAACATCCTTTTGAATGTTTTTGGGAGGAAGTTTAGCACGCCTGAGTATGCTACTTACTTCTGCTCTTACCAAATGCCTACGATCGTCGTCGAGTTGAGAGATACTCTCCTCAACAGCGGCGACAATTTCGGCGGTCGGTATTTTGCGAGGAGCAATAGCAAACCTTAGACCCTTCTCTAAACAACTCCGTTCCAGCGCGGATAATTCCTTGGAGGAAAGGTTCATGGCCCATTTATCTTTCAGAGATGAGCCTGAATTAACAGGAGACCTCTTACTGAGCAAGTGACGGAGTTTTCTGTTATGTTTCTCTCTATTAAAACTACTCTACTAAACTATTGAATATATCAGGTGTATGTTGTTGCAACCAAGTGCCCCATGTGTCATACATGGGGCACTTAGTGTTATTTAATAGCTAGGTAGGCTTTATGAGTTTTTTTCGTTTGCCTCGACACAAGAATGCTGATTTGGTTTTTGGTTGCACGCTTCATTTTGTAGGCATTCAAATGCACCTCTTCCTTATCAGCCTTTTTATGCTTACTTATTTACTAATACAGGTTCCAAGAAACAAAAAACCAGTGGGCTCAGGGTCGATTATTTCCAGTGCAACCGTTGTGGGAGTTACAGGCCACGCAGGACTAGAAAGAGAAGAGGAAAGTCTAACGGTTGTAGTTTAGGTCAACGAAAGAAATCCCTTCTTTGTAGGCATGTCATCTCAAGTTGTCTGTTTCAAAACTAAGAGAAACCTCTAAGTTACTTGTCATAAATATCATTTTAATTTATCAATGCTATAAGGGATATTTATTTACCTGTCTTTCTGCATTTCTTTCGATCATTTGTTTCTTTTTTTAAAATAATATTGCATCGTTTCTTTATTGTACTAAACTTGCATAAGCAATCGGTTAGAAACGATGTTAATTCATTTAGTTTTAATAATGAAATACTCTGCATTTTTCTTTGCAGAGGAATCTGCAAGATAAACAGGAACTGTACTTCCACACTTAATGTATCTAATCTAACGAATGGCGAAGTAAAAGTGGAGATCTGCTACACCCACAATGGCCACACAAGAGAAATCCAGCATACGTGGCTACCAAAAGAAAAAAGAGCTTGCGGCAAAAATCCAACAGGGGGTTCCGAGGGAGATATTTCTTGACGACGTTAGAGATAGTGTAACGGAGAATAACTTCCCACGGCATCACTTGTTGGGAAAAAAGGATCTGTTGAATATTGAAAGAGCTTTCGGGCTGAAAGACTTTCAGCGTCACATCAGAAATTAGTTCCATGGATCCTGACTACCAGGAGGCATCTAGTGATACTGCATACTACGACCGTACCAACGAGATGAACTTTCTACGAGACTGTCTTAATTAAAGAACTGTGGGCGAGAATAGGGAGAGTGCCATAAAGAGGACGAAACGATCCCTCAGAGCGAGATTGCTCAGAATGATCGATGACGTTGAAGTCTGCGAAGATGAAGATGTGCTGCAACAGTTGGAGAAAAGTGTCAACTCCTCTTATAGTTTGCTCACTTCGATCAAGCAGCACAAGCATGACTAGTACATTTTCAGCTGCTATACCTGAAAGGAATGCACCTGCCAACAAAAAGATTGAGGTCCAGAAACGTTTTTTTTCCCCCACTAAACGAAAGACACAGAGGAGAAATATCAGATTGGCAAAACCAACTAAGGGAGAGAAGATGGAGATGATTGAGAATTGGAAGAATAATGAGCAATCAGAGCAGAACAACATCAAAGTACCTGTAGACTTCACATTGCAAAAAGATAGCGCACAAAATATGTTAGTCTTCATTGTTTGAAAATTTTCTACTTGCATATAACACCTGTCTCACCTCACCACCCGATAATTTCTCTTGTAGGATTGCAAGAAATGCTTCAGTGGTTTACTGAGGAAAAACATCAGTCCATTAAAGATCTGGTCAAATCTGCCATTAAACTGTCTGTTTCTGACGTATTGGATATAGACAGGGCATCTTTGATAACCGGAGAGGCAATAGAAGCTAACTTAGCAGACTTGAAGAGGTTTTTATACAGATGATGCCTGGAAAGCAGTTGGCAAATTAGGTTAGGATAGCTCGTGTACTTTATAGAAAACACGGTTTATGTTTAAGTGGTATAAATACCTTGTCTAAAACAGTTGTGTGATACAATAGTAAACGAGATATATACCTTCCAAAACAGCGTCATGTGATGAACAGCCTTCTTTAGATTTGAACAAGTTTCCTAAAATAATTTTAGTTTATCACTGTAAGGGTAAAGGTAAAAGTAAAGTCTGTATTCAAGCTAAGTGGCCCATTCAGCCAGAGCTTATTCTGGTTTCCTTAGTGTGAAGGGAGTAGCAGCATCACTTCTGCTTCAGGATGGGATGCTAGCCCCAGTATTTTATCAGGCTTCCCTGACAATATGCTGGTACCCATTTACAACATGTATACTCCTGAGTGGAGAGAGACACTATGAGAATTAAGTGAATTAAGAGAATTAAGTGTTTTGGCCATCACATTGAGCGTGTGTTTTTCACATCACATTGGGCCAGGGGCCTGTTCTTGAAATTCTTGCTAACTTAACAGGCCTAACGCTATATTTCAAAATTAAAAGTAAGAGAATAGAGAAGCAGGCTCTGACACCAGAACCAGTCCACTTTGTTTCTTTAGCTGATAGTTTTATTGTATGATTCTCAAACTTTCTTTCAAACATAATTCTCAAAATTCTTTAACAAAGATGGCGGTCATTTGCAAGCAGCCGAGGATGTTCTCCGCCTATGTAAATACGCAATTCGTCGTTTATCAAACTTACAGGAACAGTTCAGGGAAAAAGATGACCAGTTGCAAGAGAAGGAGGGGATAAATCTACACCTGCAAACTCTCTTGAATACAAAAAATCAACAACTGGAAGAGAAAATTAGACAAGAACAGAATTTATACCAAAAACTGCGAGTAGTAGAAGAGCAGATTTCACAATCTCAAGCACAACTAAGGGAGAAAGAGTTGGAAAAGGCTAACTTGTTAAAGAAAAAAGATCGCCAAAACGGAAACCTGCGTGCGATCGTCAGCAGGTGACAAACTCGCGAGATCAATTACAAGAGGAAGAGTTACTGAAGACCAACATGCGGGAGCAACCGGAGAGAAAAGAGCAACAATTAGTTGAATCGGAATTGAGATTAAGGGAAATGAATCAACAAATAAGAGATCTTCAAGTTCAGATCAAAGAGAAAGACAGAGCGACTGCTGCTTTGCGAGAACGATTAGGAATTACGGTACAACAAGTTGGTGAGCTAGAAGAACAGCTGACAAGAAAAGACCAGGAAAAGAATAAACTAGAAAGAAGCCTTTCAACAGCTCAGCACATATTACGTGACAATCAGGCTCAAAGATCACCAGACTGGGTTATTCCACGTAATCAAATTCAGCTGACGACCAATCCCTCGGTAGAGGTGCTTGGGGAGAGGTTGCCCAAGCAAGGTTCTGTGGTTGTCTCGTTGCTGTATAAACGATATCTGATGTGATTCTTTCTCCTCACAACCGCAGATTGTTTTTTGAACGAGAAATGGACATTGCCCCGAGATGTCGACACCCTTATTTATTGCAATTCGAGGGAGCAACAAACGACGACCACACACCTTTGTTTCTCACAGAGCTCATAGATACAAGCTTGCGAGCACTGTTAGAGGAACGATCTTTTTCTCAGACAGAAATCCCCGTTATTGCTCTGGATGTGGCTCGAGGACTAAACTACCTCCACCAAAAACGCCCCATTCCTATTCTTCACCGTAATATCAGCACTGCAAATGTGTTGCTGTGGAGACATGGTAATCAATGGCGAGCTAAACTGTCAGATTATAGCACTGCTAATTTCAAGAAACAGATCATGACAGTTGTACCTGGGGCTCCAATCTACAGAGCACCTGAAGCACACGCTACAAATCAAACGGTCAACCGTTTTCAAGTCGAACACAACACTTAAGTCTTACTTAGTAGGACCTAAAGACGCCCTGGAACCATCAAAACAAGGCGGTGTCGTTTACAAGATCTCATGCAAATACGACAAAGTGTACATCGGTGAAACTGGGTGATCAATGCGAGGAAGGATAAAAGAACATGACAGAGACATACGGTTTGATCGCACTCAGACCTCTGCGGTTTCGGAGAATGCTAACGAAACGGGGCATATTCCTATTTGGAGCAAAGTTAAGTTTATTGATCGTGACCCCCACTGGTACACACGTAGGGTCAAAGAGGCTATCCATATAAGACTTCATCCCAACAACATCAATAGAGATAGCGGAATCGACATTCCCGAAGCTTGGATACCCACGATCAAACAACACGACAGCCGATTTATGAGGACCTATGAGGGAACACCATCTAACGACCGGACTAGTAATGAGGATCGAAATGCACCAATGGCAGCCTACCAAAGTGCTACAAATAGCGACGCGTTAACAATCGACCTCATCGCCTGATGAAGACTAACAGTATTGCAGTCGAAACGTCGCGATCTACATCATTAGTGACTCTATCGTGAGACAACGAACAAAGTTCATCTACTATCCTACAGCACGATGAACAATAGGCACATATTTTATTATATTTTTAGTTTGTTTGTTTGTTTAGTCGGACTAGATACAGCTATCATTTTGAACTTTTTGTTTTTGTTTTTCGTGAAGTCCGGTCGTTTGGGTGAGAGCGGTACTGAAAGGATTGCTCTTGGTGACAAGGAATGACCCGTAACAAACTGAGCGGCAGACTCCAGTGATGACTTCTACTCAGGTTGTCGAAATGACAGTAACTTCCCCTGAAAACGATCCTTTTAAGGACTTCTCTTACCTAGACGATCAAATTAGCCGTATGAATATTCCTTCTTGTTTAGATAATTTACTGTAAAAATACTTGAGGATGTTACGCGACTTAGTGTTCTCCTAAAAAATGACTGTAATGATACTTCTCAACAACATTTTTTTTTCTTATACCTTGTGACTGACCAAATTCCCAGAAGAAAAATTTGTTCCAATACCGAGCTGGGGTTATTCATCAGAATCCACAATAAGTAAGACCCTGATCTCGACGTTCAAAGTAACAAATCAGTGAAGACATGATCCTTGCAGGTGAGCATCAGTAACGAAATTACAGAAAAGAAATGTGCAAAATTCAGGCTTCGACAGGATTCTAACCCGTACCTTTCCGGACGCTATAACCAATTGAGCTGCGGAACCTCAGGTTGGAATTGTTTCAAATTCTGATAGGATTGTTGTTCCCGTAGAGAATTATGAGTAAATGAAATAAGTAATATTTTGATCCCAGGATGAAATACAAAGTAAAGAAAGGATCTTTTCAGGTGACCTGCGGCTAAATAAATTGCAAAATAGAAGCTCTTCCCCTCGTCCTATCTACAAAACTTCTGAGTTCTTCCCCTAAAAATCTGCAGAACCTAGCTTTTCAGAGCTTTCTTATCTGCTCACAACTCTAAACTTGGCCTTATCTTCTTTCGTTCAGTTCTATGAACACTTTTGATGTTTTTTTTTATCCTCCTCTATGAAAGATCGTTCAGCAATATGTTTAGTTGTTTGCCTTTAGATCCTTGTAAAATATTCTAGATTCTCTGAGATCACAACAAAGAAATTAATATTCATCTTACTTTCAAACTTATTAATCTATCATTGGCACTTTCCTTCAGTCAAAGAACGTTATATGCAATGGGTGACGCACAGGAACTTTTAGTTAGTGCCTTGAAAAGTCCAGCAGCGCTCTAGCTCGGCAACTGTTGCTATGTTTCCTTAACGCAAGAGAAGTTACAGTCCCCGGAGCTAACTGTGTACCCAAGAGTAGTTGGGGTTGTTCTTGTGAGGAAGCAAAACTTAATAAGATAGCAGCTCTGCAAGTTAACCTTGAGATCAAATCAGACGTAAAACTAAAGACCTCAACAAAAGCTATTAGGCTTGTACCAAAGTGATCTAACATGATAACCACCCACTAAGAAGCGAAGAAATTTTAGTTTGTAATGATAAGCACGACATATAGTATGTACAACTGATCTAAAACATGTTTTTCGCAATTAAGTTAAAGTGTCAAACAGAATCAGTTCATTTTCGAAACTTAAACTTAAAATTTAAATTACTGCGCGTGTTAAGTAAGTGCCCAAACATAGAGGTTAATGCTTCCTTCCTCTGAGTTTCGCGTCCTTCATATCGCGAAGCCACCAACAAATTTTGCGCTTTTTCCAGTGCTCGTAGTGCTCGCAAGTATGATTTTGCTCGCTCAGGTTAATTAAGGCCTGGGTCAAAAATGATTTTCGCCTCCAGTGCCCCCCCAGCAAGGTTCGCGGAATTCGCGTGGACTGCGCGAGTAACCATAGTTACTTGGAATCAAGATCGCGTAGTTCGTGAACGGCATCCGCCATTTTGAAGTGTCGGCTTTGCATTGGTTTTTCCCATCTTCGCTGGTGAATCCGACAATCTAGAGGAAGACATCAAAAGAAGGTAATAACATTTTCTTTGCTATCTTCATTTCCTCAAAAAATGGCATGATATCGCTATCTTAAAGCCAAAGAGAACCCTTTTGAACCAACGAAGACTTCTAAACACCGCTCTCAACACGTTCATTGATTTCACTGCAAATACAATGCAATGGTTTTTAAGTTTTAACCGGTAATAATTGCAACAATCATTGTCAATGATGGACTTGTAATTGATATATGTGTCTATTTGAATGTAAATATTCTACCCACTACACCAGTGGAGTATCTTTTAATTCAAATGCATCACAAAAGTTCTGATACATGCATATGATTCTGACCATAGCCTTCTCTCTTTGTTGATAAGACATGATTAATTACCAAAGCTTACTGTTGCCCCAAGTGGGGCACTGTTTTTTTTGTGACAAGAGCAAACACAAACTGGTATAAGATGTGTCATCTTCTCAGCCCTTAACTCATAAAAGATGTGCC